TTCGTTTTACTGTTCCCCAGTCACTTACTGCAGGAAGCGCCGTTCACGGGGTGCAGTAGATCCCACCGCTGCCACCAGTTGTCACGGAGTGTGGGGGAGTCCAGGCCCTGCACCCCTCTTCCTGGGATCCACTGAGACTCTCAGCCAGCCAGTAAAACAGAAGGTTTATTGGACAACAGGAACACAGTCCACAACAGAGCTTGTGGGTACAACCAGGACCCCTCAATCACGTCCTTCTGGGGGAGCAGGGAGCTTAGACCCCAGCCCTGGGGTTCCCTGTGTTCCTCTCCCCAGCCCCCAAACTGCCAACTAAACCCACCCAGCAGGTTCCCTGCTGCAGCCTCTGTTCACATTTCTGGGCAGAGGTGTTACCTCCCCCTCCCCCTCCTGGCTCAGGTGACAGGCTCTCAGGTCTCCCATCCCCAGGGCACATTCCCAGGTCAACACTCCCCCCTCCCTGCTGAGTCACATCGTCACAGAGTAACACTGATCCTAGCCCCCCCAGGGTGCAGCTGTGGGGGCACCCGCGAAAGGGCAGCGATGGCAAGAGAGTGGAGGACAGAACCCCTTTCTAGAGCTATCCTCAGGGTTCCGCTGGGTTGAGGGTCCAGCCTTTGGCCTCTGGAAACGGGAGCTGAATCCTGATTGTGGCGCAGGGAAAACGAGTCTCAGCCTGGTTCCCAGTTTGATATTCATCCACATTACAACCCTGCAGCTGTTCTCTGCTCAGAAGTGGCTTCGGGGGGGGGTGGGGGGGATGGTGTGGGTTGGGATTGAGGGGCACTAGCCATGCTGCATGGGGACTGCAGGACGGGAGCATCACAAGGTGCTGCAGGTTTGGACTAAGGTGCATTGGCCAAGGTGTGGGGTGAGACTGGGAGAGGGAGGGGCCTGCAGGCCAGGTCAGCTGTGTGTGTGCCGGAGGTTTGCACAGCACCTGTCTGCGCTGGGCCGGGCTGTCCCCATGTTGTGAGCGTCTCTCTGCCGGGAGAGGCATGTGCCTGCAGTGTGAGAGAACAGAACAAAGCCGGAGCAGCTCTGCATGCATTTAATGAGCCATCGGGGCCAGGATTTCTGCTGGTAAATTAGGGGACTGGATCTGGGAGACAGTTTTATGGCTGGAGCTGAGCCAGTTAAACAGGTTCCGTTAGGCTAGTGCCTGGCTCCCGAAGTGTGGTGTGTTCATCTCTCGTGGCTGAACGTACTGGGGTTATAACGCAGGGTAACCCATGCTGATGAGGCTTGGGGACGTTAGCTGCAGCAGGCAAGGCGTCCAGGCACTGGTATACTGAGCTCCGGAACCCCGCCAGCCTAGGGCACCTTACAGCTAGCGCAGCAGGCCCCTGCTCTCCAGGGCACATGTCTCCTTCTCAGCAGGGGAACGTGCTCTGAACTCCACCCCAGGGGCAGTGGATCCCCCTTCCACGCACCAAGTCTCCTGGGCCGAATCCCAGCCCCAGGTGGTCTGAAATGGGGCATGTAGCACGTTGTGCCCATGTGTGCCAGCCATCCCCCAGGTGCACTGGGCCCTTTCATCACCAGCAGCTCAGGAGCATGCTGCCCTCCCCACCCACACAGGCTCCTACAGCCCTTGTCCAGATTAGGCTGGATCGAGGGCTCCCCCCCCCCGCATTGCTAAGGGAAATGTTAATCATCTGGTCACTCTGTGGCAAAACACCATCCCTCCCCCCAGTTCTCCTGCCTGGATTCTAGGGTGACCAGACAGCAAGTGTGAAAAATCGGGATGGGGTGGGGGGTAATAGATGCTTATATATATATATGAAAAAGCCCCAAATATCAGGACTGCCCTATAAAATTAGGACATCTGGTCACCCTGCTGGATTCAGTCAGGATGGGAAGGATTTCAGTTCCCCTCCATTGGTCTGGCTAATATATTCCCACTGGAAATCAGTGTGGAGCCCCCCCCTTGCCCATGAACCCCCATTGTGAGGCCAGCTGGGCAGGAGATGGACAGCAGAGTGGGGCCTTGATCTCAGGAGCTGCAGCAATAAGCCCTTCTTTCTAATCTCATCTCCATACCTCCGTCCTGTGCGACACTGCCCCCCCCCCCCCCCCCGAAGCGTCCACGTGCTGACAGCCAGGAGAGTTCCCAGTGGACATGGGAAGAAATGGGGTCACGGGACACAGCACTGCCCTGAGCCTGACTGCCTAGCTCTGCCTTCCCACTGGTCTGCTCCCGGCCCGGGCCCCAGTGACCCTCTTTCGCCTGCTCTACTGGTTTAGAATTGATTTTCAAGGCTCCCCCTTTGTCTGATGTTTCCTAAAGGGGAGACCCAGGATCTTTCCCCTTGGTGGGGGGAGACCCCATCCCTACAGCAGGAACCTGCAAGCCTCCTCTCAGATATATTTAGCTGGTGTAGATATGCAGCCTCCCGTATGGAGTGGCAGCTAACGGAGACCTGGGGCAAGAACAGGCTTCCTGCACCCGGATGGCTACTGGCCACCCATCTAATCAGCGAAGTCCCGCGCACAGGCAGTGGGAGCAGTCAGGCCTTGTCTGGTGACAGTGAATGTAGCCGGGGTGTCCACAAGCTGTTTGCATGCGTACAGTGTCTGTTCAGGGTGGCCCAGCGCATGGCCTTTGGGTGCATGGGCAGCTCTAGTGCAGCCGTCCGGCTGCAGCACACGCATGAATGAGCTCCCTTGCATCAGGCTTGCTGGCTAGCTTGGCTCCAGCACGTTTCCCTTCAGGCCAAACCACCCCCAGTGCATGCTTTTGAAACCTGCATGGCCAGGCACCATCCTGAGCAGCTAAAGTCCTGTGCTTCCTTTTCCTTGCCTGACCCTGGTAAGGACGTTCTGCACCCGGAGCAGAATGACATGCAGAACAGCTGCTCAGACGAGCAAGCAGCTCCTACTTGCTGTGGTTCCAGCCCTGAGGGCTGGGGTCTTGGGTCCGCTCCAGAAAGATGGCTGCAACTCCTGGCCCCAACCCAGTGTCACCTGGTGCCAGCTCAGTGAGCTGCTCTCCTGCCTTGCAGTGAAAATGGGCTTGTGGGCCTGTTTCCTTCTGTGGGATGTCCAGACGAGGCCTGACCTGGAGTGTGCCCTGCTTGTTAACAATACTGTGGCCTCAGGGATGCCCAGCACACTGGTGCCCGACTCCGATAATGACCCTAGCACTGCTGTCACGAGGATACCTAGGTCTCTGGTGCCCCTGGGGTTTGCCAGCACGTGCCGCAGGTCTCAGGGATGTGGCCTGTCAGTCCCCCAGGCCTCACTGGGGCGGGGCGGAATCTTTCCCAGTAACAGCTTTTCTCCCAGGGGTTTCTCCAGCAGTGAAATCAAACAGGACTTAACAAACAGAGCCTGATTACAAATCCTTCCCTCCCGTTACCCAGCCTTCCCTGGTGCGCTGCTCCAGTGCCCCGGGGCGCCCAGCTCAGACAGGGGAAAAGCCCCTTCAAACCCCTAAACAGCAGCTCCCTCCTGGTCCCTCTCTCCAGCCCCAGGACGCACAAAGGCCCGAGCCCCCTGCTGGCCCTATTCACAAGGCACCGTGAAAAGCCGTGACCGCTCCCCGCCACTTCCTTGCTTGCCCAGCACAGTGCAGGCCCTGTCCCTGCGCACGCCGCCCCCCGTCCGTGTGCCCGTGCCCAGCGTGGCTCCTGTCCCCTCACAAGAGCAGTCCACAGCGTGCTGCTGTTCACCTTTCCCTGGGCTCCAGGGGGATACCTCTGGCCCGGCGGGCCCTTTTGATCTCGCTCAGGGCTCCCTGCTCTGAGGAGATGAGCTGGTGGTGGCAGGCCAAGTCACGCCTCCTTGCTGTGGCTTCCCGGCAGCACTGATGCATCCTGCCCCACAAGTTTGCCTTGGGAAAGCTCCAGCCCCAGCACTCAGGCCAGCCGTCAGTGCAGGGTCTGGCTCAGCACTGTCACCCCTTGGATCTTGCTCCCCCTAAGACCAACCGCCTCTTATCTCGGCCTTCCAGGCCTCCCCAGAACAGGCTTTTGTTTAGACTGACACAAAGGGTCCCTGTGCAGGGCAGGGCGTGTGGAGCTGCTGGTACAGGTCCATCTGCCCCCTCCCGCAGCCAGGGCAGGGTTCTCACCAGTGCAGTGTCTGGAACTGCCCTTTCCTCCCATTCCCCCCGCGCAGGCTGTTCCCTCGTCTCCCCCAGTGGCTGCGGAGCTGAGCGCAGTGGCTTGCGCTCTCTGAACTGCTCCGTGTACATGTCCCTCCTCTCTGGTGTGGAGATGAGGGCAGAGACCAGAGCCTCCCTGACCGCCCCCCTGGTCCTGTCATTTCAAAATGGCCTTCCTCGGCTTGGGAAACTGCGCCAGATGAGTGCCCCAGAGCCACCGGAACTGGCAGGGGCAGAGCATGTGAGGGGCAGAGGCAGCTGGTAGCCACATGTGACTCAGGGAAGAGGCTGAGAGCAAGGGAAGAGGCCTGTCTGTGGCAGGGCGGAAGTGCCCCTCCGAGCCCCTGAGCAAGCAGGCGTGGGGCTGTGGGAAGGGACTAGAGCAAAGCCCCGTGTCCCCAGAGCCGGAGTGGTGCAGGCAGCAGCAGAGAGAGCCCTGCGAGTGTGCCTACCACCCACCTGGGGGGACTGGGCAGCTCAGCCTCCATGGCCCGTTCGCTGCAGGGGCCTAGCCAAGGCTGGGAGATCCCCAAAGCCATCTCCTGGCTTCGGGCCACTCGCGGCACAGGCTGGAGCGGAGCCAGTGTCCCAATGGGGAGAGGCTCCATCCCGCCGGCCCTTGCCCTGCCAGGCACCCAGCTGTCCCGGGAAGGGGGGCTGGAGATGCCAGTGCAGGGGTCTCTCTCCCCATCCCCCACCTTGCTGGTGGAAGTCCCAGAGGCAGGAGCGTGCTGGAGCAGCCATGTAGTAAGGCACACAGTGCCTGCCTGCTGGCGGGGGCTGTTTGGGGGCAGAGGAGGCCTCGTCCCTGCACGGGTGGGGAGGGGGGCAGAGGGTGCAGAGCCCAGGGCTCGGTCTCTCGGTATCTAACATCGGCAGCGCTTTGTGATTATAGAACGGATTAAAGAGCCCCAAACGCTGGAGCGAGCCGCCGGCATCCCGGCACATGGGCCGGTGGAGGAGCCTCCCAGCCCCCCTGCCGAGGAGCAAGGCGGGGTCCCCATCCCCAGCTCGGGCCTGCTGCAGGTTGCTGAACGGAGACGTGAGTACAAGGCAGCATCCCGCCCCCCCCCGCTCACAGCTGTGCAGCTGGCCAGGCCTTCCCTAGGGCCTGCCATGGGGCCCAGCCCAGCCAGGAGCCTGCCCCGGGGCTCCTTTGTCCCTGGGCCTGGCCTGCCCCCAGGGCTCCTTCCTCCCCCTGCCCTGGTCCCAGCCCAGCACAGCCAGGGGCCTGTCCCCCAGGACTGAATCCCTTCCAGCCCTGGGGCCCAGCCCAGCCCTGGGCTTGCCTCCCGCCCAGGGCTCCAAGCCCCAGGGCTCCAAGCTAGGGAGAGGTTGTCTTGGTTCCAGGGGCTCATTCCCCCAGGCAGACTCCAGGGGGAGATTCCCCAGTTGTGGATACATGGTGAGAGTGCAGGATCTGCCATGCGGAAGGAGAGGGAAGCAGGGCCATTACTCTGGCCCCAAATCCCTGAGCTGTCACCTTTGCTCCCCAGAGCCCCTGAGCAGCGTGTCCTCCTTGGAGGTGCACTTCGACCTGCTGGATCTGACCGAGCTGACGGACATGTCGGACCAGGAGCTCGCCGAGGTCTTCGCCGACTCTGACGACGAGAACGTCGCCAGCGAGTCCCCTGCCGGTGAGTGTGCCCAGCCCGGGGGCGGGCAGCCTGGCCTGCCCCCCACACACTGGGACAACTCCACTCACCTGGGTCCCTGTCTCTCCCAGCTGGGGGGTGGGGGGGGTGTCGAGGCAGCACCCGGTGAGCTCAATGTCTAAACACAACACGGGACACTATTAACGACCCAGGCCTGCCCCACCTAGGGTGTGGCCCCCTCGCTGCTTCCCCTAGCCGCAGGCAGCACGGGATCAGCACATCCTTCCTGTGGTCCGTGCATCCCCTGAGCTGCCTGCAGTGCGGCTGGCCTCGCTGGGGAAGGCAGCAGCGAGGCCCAGGAGCAGAGGCAGGGCCAGCCTCGTCTGTTCCTCCAGCGCAGCCTGAGCCCCGGGGCCGCCAGGAGGGGGTTTGGAGCCAGGCCTTTGCAGACAAACCCCACCCAGTGTGGGCCACAGCCTGTGACAGAGTGCAGCAGGGGGCCTCATTAAATTGCACCAGCTCTGCCATGCATCTTGAGCAAATCAATACTGCTTGACAGGGGCGTCTCCACGGGGCATCACTGCTCCATGGGAGGCTCTTCCCTTCCATCATGTAACTGTCCGAGGGCTTGGGCCAGCCCCTGCAGCAACCAAGGGCACATGGGCCGGGGCGTGGGGCTGCCATAGTTCTGGGTGCGAGGGCCTGGGCAGGAGTGTGTGTGTCAGGGGATCGGTGAGCGTGGGGCAGTGAGGGGCGCACATGCTCACCTACACCAGTGGATTGGAGGTTGCACATTGGGGCCTGCCACACCCTAGCTTGCTGCTCTGTCTGCAGCAGGTGGGGTGCAGTCCCACACAGTCTCACTGCAGGGCTGCTTCCCTGTTTGGGGCACAAGGGGGAGGCACTTGGGTTTCAGTTCAGCTGCAGCCCTTTGTCTGAGGGGATGGCCCCAAAGCAGCTTTGCAGTGCTGGGATGGAGGGCAGGGCAGAGCACAGGGGATCTGAGCTGGTCAGTCCCAGCTGCTGTGCAAAGGGGAGGCTGGTACTCTGGGGTGAGGGACTTGGCATTTCCCCACTTGCTCGGGAAGGAAGTGATCTATTGCGCAGGCACTAACATGGATCCACTGTCTGAGAACACGGGCAGCCCTGGGCATTTGGGGGGCTCCCACCTATTCTGTCCCCCCAGCACCCCATCAGCCTGGGGCTCCTGCTCCGCCAGTCTGTGTCTCGGCACATGCAGAAACAGCAGCTGCGGCCCGGTGAAACAGATTTAATGAATATGTAAATCAGCTCCTTTAGCATCTTCAGCGGGAACACGTGACCTGAATCAATTAGCAGAACTCCCCTGCACTCTCACTAGGGAGATGGCTGAAGCCGAAGGGGAGCTGCAGCTTGGTTCCTGCGACACAGCGTGTGGTCACGCACTCATGGCATGGGCACCAGGGGCGTGTGTAAAATGCTCGTCAAACGCCACTAAATTCACACTACCACGCCCCGAAAGGAAGATGAGTCAGCACCTGCCAGACCAGGTGCCCACCCCAGATGGGCGCAAAGAGCTAGTGCAGGGTTTACCTGCAGTTTGCCCACGTAGACACATGGTAATAAATCCTCTCTGAATCTGCGCCGAGTCCCTTAATGCAAAGGCAAGGGGAACATGAACAGCACGTCTGTGGCCTTGAGTGCACATGCAAAGTGGCAGGTGTGATTTGCACATGCAGTTACCACAGCAGGACCTGCAACTAGCCAGTGCATCTGCCCCATCACTCACCCAGGCAGGTGGGGCAGGGCACAGGACTGGAAGGTTTCTGGTGTAACCTTAGGCAAGACACAGACTCTTTCTCTGCCTCAGTTTCCCCAAAGTTCTTGCATAGCTTACAGGAGGCTATGTGCCATACCCCTGTACAATGGGGCTGAACACCATAGAAATTGGGGACACATGATTCAGAGCACCTCCACTTCTGAAAAGCAGGCCCAGCGCAAATCCCAAACCCTCTTGCCCCTGACTTGACTGCAAATTAGCTTGCTCAGGAATCTGACCCAAAGGAATTAAAACACGTGGAGGAAGGCACTGAATGGCTCTGGCAATAAGATACAGGCCTCTGCCCTCTCCATTGCTAGGGGCCCAGCTGATTGTAAGCAAAGGTGATTAGCGCTTTGGGCTCCTGGCTGTGGAAGGAGCTGAGGGTCTCACTCCACGTCCCCGTGGCTGTAGGGTCCCAGCCCACTAGCTGCGGCGGGTCCTTAGCAGGCTCACCAGTGATCCTGGGGTTCAGGGCCTGAATGCTGCCTAGAGCTGGTCCCTCAGGAGCGGGGCGGAGACGAGCGCGGGGGGGAGTTTCTGTTGCTGCTGCCCGTTCGGCGGCTGTTGTGGAGCAAGCCCAGCCCAGGCCAGCACCTGCCTGTAACACTGAAAGGGCTGGCAGGGGCGCGGGAGGTGCCTGCTTAGCATGTCTGTCTCCTCACAGGGCTGCACCCTCCCCCACTTCCTCGGGCCGGGTGCCTGCGATCCCCCTCCTGGACAAGGACCAAAGGCGAGCAGGGGCGGGAGAAGAAACACCTCAGTGACTCGGAGCTGCAAGCAGGCATCGTAGACACTTTCCTGGCGGTGGAGAGGCCCCAGGAGGACTAGGAGGCTGGGAGCCACAGTGGGATCTGAGCCAAGGTGCCAAGCCGGGGGTGTGCACTCTTGCACTTACCTCCAATTCCAGACAGTTTGTGACCTTAACAGACTCCTACTCCTAGAGAGACGAGCAAACCCTGCTGGCTCCGTGTAATGCAAAGCTCCCCCCTCAGTGCGGCCGTAGCACGTGGATCAGCTGTGCCAGGGCACTGGCCGTGCTGGGCAAGGAATTCCAGCGAGGAGACAGATCATCAGCACGCTGTCTTAGCACTTTTTTAACCCTTTCTTGCTCACTCTGTACAAAACCTGGCCAGGCCGACAGCAGCAAGGGCAGGGCCTAGGGCCAGGAGAGAGCCCAGCTGCACGGAAGGGAAAAGCAGGTTTGGGGAGAATTGCGTCTTTCTGGAGAAAAGCCCTCTGGCTGCAGGTGAGTTAGGAGCGGGGGAAAGCCCCCATTCTTCCCTCAGGGCAGGAGGGAGGTAACATCCAAGGAACCTGGGGGCAAACAACCACGCTGGTTCTTCCCCAATGAAGTGCTGGAGCTCAGAGCAGAACCCAGCTGCCTGGGGGCCGCCAGCCAAGGTGGGATTTAGCCATCACTTGCTAGAAGCACATTCTCGTCCCTGTGGCTTTACACCTGTACGGGCTTTAGCTCCGGTGTAAGAGCAGCACTACTGAAGATGCCAGCCTGGGAACAGCAGCCCGTGCTCATCTCCCACTGCGAGCCTGCCCAGGGAGCTCTGCAGTGGGGCTGGCTCCTGTGAGCTCACGTGGCTGCGAGGAACCCATGGGTCTGAATTACGACTGCTTTGCCGCTGTTACAAGGAAGCCCAGTTCCATCTCCGGAAGTGGCATGGGGTCGGGGGCAGTTGGACAGACGTCTTTTTGTGGTCAAACCGGATTAGGCTGAAGCGAGCTGGAGCATGGGAACATGAGCCCGACTGCACAGATCCTGCTGGAGGGGGCCCTGGGGTGAGGCAGGAGAGGCTGTGTTTACTTGATCCTTTCACCATTGACACAAGCTGCTTCATGCTAAGGAGCAGAACGGAGTCGAGGGGGCCTGGGAGAGGAACGGGGCCTGTGCTGTGCCCAGAAAACAAGAGGGGCTAAGCTGGACATCCTGTCCCCTTCAAACCTTAGCCTCACTTGAATTGTTGCCACACTCCTAGCCCCTGCTGTCCACCTGGAATCTGTCGTGTTACCAAACTTTTCCTACCTCCTCCCGGGGGTGGGGTTAGCCTGTTCAATGCCCCTACGGCCCAATCTCACTAAGCCCAGCTGTTCTGCAGGGGGAGCCGGACGGTGCTAGAATGTCTTCGCAGGCTCCCTTCACAACTGCTGCTGTCCATCCCGCCGAGCCCCCGGGGCAGTCTAGTCTTCATCTCCTCCCTTGTTCAGAGCACCAAATAATGCCAAGGCTGCCTCAGGAGCCATGGCAACTTTCTTAAAAGACAGTTACAAAGGAGGGATGGGGAGGGGGCAGGTCTTCCCCTCCTTCCACCCTCCCTTGGGTAAACTGGGGAATCCTCATTTTCTGCCATTGTGGAGAAGAAACTCTCCTGCCGACCCAACGTCTCTTGCCTCACTGTAGCATGGCGTTGGGCGTGTGGCTGCCTTCTGTCCCTGCAGTTCTGTGTGCGCAGTAGTGTCTGGGCCGGGGCTATGTCGTCCTGTCCCGTCTGGGAAGCACCACTGCTGGCTCTGCTTAGGACCCCTGGCCCCTCACACCTTGCAGGCTGCAGTTAGTGGACCGCTGGCAAGGTAGCCTGGCTTGGAGGCTATGTTCACAAGAGGGAAAGGAGACAACCCAGGGGTGGCCAGCACAACCAGTCCCATACAGCTCTCTGCAAAGCTCATCTTTAGTGCACAACAGCAGCATTGCGAAGGGAGTATAGTAACAGTTGGGTGGGGGGACCAGTCTGTCAAGGGATTTGAAATAATTAGGGCCCTACCAATTTCATGGTCCATTTTGGTCAATTTCAGAGTCAGGACTTAAAAAACAATCAATTTCATGATTTCAGCTATTTAAATCTGAAATTTCAGTGTTGTAATTGCAGGGGTCCTGACCCAAAAAGGAGTTGTGTGTGTGTGTGTGGGGTCACACGGTTATTGTAGGGGGGTCACAGTATTGCCACCCTTAGCTCTGGGCTGCTGCTGGCGGCTGGAGAGCGGCGGCTGCTGACGGGGAGCCCAGCCCTGAGGGCAGAGCCGCCGCCAGCAGCAGCCCAGAAGTCGGGGTGGCCTGGTCTGGAATTGCCACCCCGACTTCTGGGCTGCTGCTGGCAGGGAGCTGCCTTCAGCGCTGGGTGCCCAACCAACAAGTGCCAGTCTCCGGCCACCCAGCGCTGAAGGCAACATAGAAGTAAGGGTGGCAATACCGTGAACCCCCCCGCCTGCCCCCGCAACTCCCTTTTGGGTCAGGACCTCCAATTTGAGAAACGCTGGTCTCCCCTGTGAAATCTGGTCTTTTGTGTGCTTTTACCCTCTACTATACAGATTTCACGGTCCGTGACGCTTTTTTCATGGCTGAAAATTGGGTAGGGCCCTACAAATAATGCCCCAGTCATTGGACCATGCCCTCTCTCTCCTCTACCAAATTTGGAAAAGAGGGCCAGATCTTTGGGGTTGGAGGAACCACAGCTCTTGTTTCTGCCCTGTGGAGTCCAGCTGCAGTGAAATTCAGATGCAGCATGGAGAGCGAGGGTCCAGCAGGCCTTTCTCTGGGCTGCACCCGAATTTCATGGCCTGACAGTGGAGCTGCTCCTGATTGTCATGTAAATCAGGCCAGCTGCCAGCTGGAGCACACCTCATGCTTCAGCTGACACATGAGCCATGAGGGGCTTCTGGAGCAGCTTCCAAAATAAATTCCCTGCTTCGAGCCCAGAGTAGCAGTTTGGGCTGGTTTGCAGCTTTCATTCAGATCCGTGCTGTTGCTATCCCAGTGTCCCACATGTTAGTTATAGAGTGCCAGCAGCCCCCTGGAAAAGGAAGGCTCCAACTCTGAGGGGTGCAGGGGGCTTGCAAGGGAGGGATTTCTTAAAAACAATCTCCCACCAAAGCAGGAGCTGGTTAAACTCCTCCTCAGAGCTCCAGCCCGGAGCCACCCGGTCACCAGACTAAAAGAGCAGTTAGGTCGTGATGCCAGCATGACACTATAAGGACTTGGGTGGTTTTAATCTAAGTCTTAAGGTATCTCTAGGACACACACCTGCACCCTCCAGCTGTTGAGCCATTCTGCTCTTGTCCTGTACTTTTCATTGGTTGTGTAGCAGCTTTCTGTACTGTTAAAAAACAAACGTATCCCCACGTGCCCGGCCGGGTGTGTCCAGTGGTTTCCTTGGTCTCCCACCTCGCTCAGCACCAGCCGCGCTGCACCCAGCTCTGCACACCTGAAGTCAACAGGGGATTGCATGCGAAGGGGACGATCAGAAAAGCACAGCTGCTGGGCTGTGCTCCTGCCCAAGGGGAAGGGGATGACGTTTGGGAAGGCCTGGCTTTCAGTGTTCAACTGCTGTGTCACTCAGCCCAGAGCTGGCATCAGCTCATGGCTGTTCTTTAGTCACACTCATCACAGACCACAGAGCTGAACCCCTAGACCTGCTTAGGGGACCAGCTGGGAGTAAAAACATCACTCGTCACCCAGGTGGGCTTGAATGGGACTTCCCAGGTCCATCTCCCCCACCCCTCTGCACAGCAAGGGTCAGTCCCCTCAGAGCCCCTCTCCAGGGATAATGCTCCTTTGAGTCAAAAGCAGTGGCTGTTGCAGGCAGATCCCTCAACAAGAACTGTGAACTCTCACTTGGGTGGACATGGGATTTGATGCCTAATTTGGGCATTTATGCAGAGGGTTAAAGCACTGGCCAGAGGTGGGGCAGGAGGGAATTTGTCCTGCATACCCTGGTATTCCAGTCCCTTCACCAGGGCCTCAGGTCCAATGCTCCCCTGGGACCTGCTATGCTCCTCACCTGCAGCCATTCAGCTGGTCACACGTGCTTGGGGCCCAGTCACTCAGGCTGGTGGAGAAAGGAAAGTGCTGACACAGGGGAATGATCCCTCACCACACAGTGGGGTTGGGTTTATTTGGCACCCTGCATTTGAAATCACAACTCTGCAGTTATCAAAGTGGTAAAGGGGGTCTGGACACGTGGCTGGATCGCCGGAGACAACGATAAAGCTAGTTTTCCTTCGTGCTGCCCTCCCCCTCCCAAGCACACATTGCTACACCAGCTAGACCACGTGAAAAGAAATACATTATAAATAATAATTATAGTCAGCTCCATCTTCTCCTTCCCTCCTTCCCCCCTACCTGCATGGCACCGCTGGAAAGGAAGGCAGGACAGCCACAGTGCCGTGGCAATGTCACAAAGGGATTCCATCAGAGCGGCTCATGTTTATGGGTGGTGAGTCAAATTCAGAGGGCTCCATTTACAAGCAAAGGTCTGATTTGTCTAACTGCCAGTGCCCCAAACTCAGTCTGCCATCTGAACATCAAACAGGATTCTTCCCTTCATCAGCCACAGGAATGGTGGGGCTCCAGGGTACATTAACACCAGGCATGTAATTCCCCCTGCCTTCACATGATGCCCTTTGTGCCATTGGCGCAGGCCTGCTGTTTCCAGTGGCGTAACAGACTGAATTTCGTGCCTAGCACAATGTGGTCCTGGTCCTTCGGGAGTAAAAGGCAGTAAATGCTTTTCTCACCGCTAGTCAGCAGATCCGACTTGGAACAAACAGTGGGCAGCTCTGCTGAGTAAGCCAGGGCCTTTTCTGCAGGCCCTAGTCAGAGGAGAGCTGCAGGGTACCAGTTTCTTGTGTTTTGGAAGCGGCAAATGTCAGAGAACCGCAGAGGACAGCTAGCAGACAAGGGGCGGAAATGACTGACAGTAGCTGCTTAGCCAGCAGAGCACATCCCTGTCGGAGTGACATGAATGTGAAACGCTTCCAGGAGAGCCTGGCACATCTAGACTGGTAGTTTTAGCTCCATAGCACCAGCCCGAGTCAGTTGACCCGGGCTCTGAGAGTCAGTGCTCCCCTCCACCCCCCACGCAGATATGCCCAGCTCTGCCCCCCAGACAGTGGGTCCTGGAGGCAAGGAGCGAACCCGGCTCTGGAGTACGGACTGCAGTTCCTAAGCCCAAGAAGGCTGGAACATGCTCCCAGGGGTGAATAGCTGAGCTCGACCCTCCTGCAGCCAGGGGAAGTGACTAGACCAGGCAGAGGGGGATGTCAGCGTAACAGATGAGGGTTATGCTGTCTGCATTTGCCTTCGTGAAATGGGAGTAAAGGGACTCCAAAGCTAAACGCCGATGGCTGCAGGGGAAGGCACTACGGCTGCCATCCAGCGGCCTGGCTGAAGTGGCCTCCTCCAGCAGTGGGAGGTGCCGCAATCTTTCGGTTGTGTTCCTGGCTGAGGGACAGGCGGGGCAGGAGTGAAGCACGGCACCGGCGCTAGGGAAGCCCTGCCTGCCAGGCTGCACAGGCCATTTGCAAAGCTGCCTCCCACCACGAAAACGTCACCTTCTGAACTGCCATGGCACGGGGCCCAAACGCAAAGCTCCGCCATGCCAGAGCAGTGCCGCACCCAGGCCCCATCTATCCCCTGCACGCAAGGTAGGCATGGCAGGCAAAGTCCAAGCCCTGTCAGGGCACAGGCTCGACGCAAGGAAGGAATCCACGTCTCAGCTTTTAGAAGCTAGGCCTCCCTTTCCACCCCATCGGCCTGAGCTAGGAACGCCCCGCCCGGAGAGAGGATCTAGCCCAGGCACGTCTGGGCCAACAGCTACTCTGCTTTGATACATGGCTATAGGTGCCATAAAGACACCCCAGGCCAAGAGACCCGCTGCCAGGCCCCCAGGAACTCACATGGCCAGTCACAACCCCCCAGAACAGGGGTCTGAGCTGGGGAACTTCCAACTACCAGCACCCCACACTGCCAGACGACTCACCGAGTCCTACAGGGCCAGAGTTACTCCTGCCAACGTCCAACAGGGTGGGTGGGCCAGGCTAGGGGGCAGAGCCCACAGCAGCGTCACTTAATTAGCACCATTTTGTTAGCCCATTTCCACGGAGCTCTTGGCTCCCCTGGAGCCGGGTGCCTCAGGCGAAGGGGGGGGCCTCTCTCAGCCTAGCCCTGCAGTGACCTCCCACAGGTAGGCTCTTTCTACCAGGTGCGCGTGGCCGCGGCTCTGAAAGGCTCTTTGGACTTGTTCTGGCTCGTCTCCTAGACCTCTGTCCTTGCTCAGTCACTGCCTATGCACAGGGATACGAGGGCAAAGCAGGACTTCACGGGAGTGCGGCTGCAAACCTGCAAAGGCTGCATGGAAGGCACTGAGGACAGGAACTCGCAGGGGAGGATCTTGCCCCGTCTGCGCATCCTCCCCTCCGCTTTGGCGTTGGCTCTTCTAACGCCCCAGGGAGCCATAGGACATGCCCCGGGATCCTTGGCCTCCCTCATACAGGGCTGGCTGTGCTGGGGGCGGGGGGGTTTACAGTCGGGGAGGATGCTGTGGTAGCACCAGGGTAACCGCATCCTAGACAGAGTCGCTAATCAGAGGAGAGCTGGCTCCCGGACAGCTCACCCTACTGCTCGCCTGGGCTCCCAGCCTCCGCCCCATGGCTGGGGAGTCCTTCCAGCACCCTCCAGGGTTGCTGGCTTTGGGACAGCTACTGGGGAGAGGTGGATGCTGGTAGGAGCATGCTCCATCCACCCTGCACAGACTGAACAGGCCCACAGAGACTGGGCCATGAGCACCAAGAAAGCAGCTGCTGTACCGGCCAGTGGGAACGAGCACTTGTCCTGACTGGGTGTCAGCCAGCCAGGCCATAGGATGGCCCCTGGGGAGAGGAGAGGGCGGGACCCGCAGCTTTCAGAGGGAAAGCCAGTGCACCAGCCCTACCACGGCAGTGCAGGGGCCTTGTCCGCTGTTCCTATTTACAGACAGCCTCGCTCCTGCTCCGGCCTCCTGGATGGCTCTGTCCGGTGTCAGCAGTATCACCAGGGGACGCACTCAGAAAGGGTCCCTGGAGACCGGGGCCCACCCAGCGGCAAGGGCTGGCAGCAGCTCTGGCATGGTCCTCCCCAGCTGGCTCTCACTGCTAGGAGGTGCTCTCCCGTGCTCTCTCCTCCTGGCTCTCCTCATCTCTCTCGCAGTTCCAGTCCTTCAGGCCCTCTGGGAGGGAGGTGTCTTCGTCCAAGCTCCCGGTGCCATCTACAAACTCCTCATAGGTGGATTTCTCTGCAAAGGGCCTGGGGCCAAGCAATTCAACCATGTCCACTTTCTCCAGCACTTCTTTCTCCAGGAGACGCTTTCCTACCTGTGGGGAAAATAACATCATCACAGCCCGATTCCTCAGCCATCCAGCCTCTGCCCTGGGAAGGCAGGGACATGTTCCCTGCCACAAGTCGCACACTTCCCTACAGGCAAATGCCGTGTGCAGCTCCAGCATGCTCTCTCCCCTCCCCTTAGGGTGTCCCATGCCAGCGTGGGAGGAGCTAACCATCCAGCGGCCGATAGTGCAACCGGCCACCAGAGGCCCCTGTGCTGGTGCCCCTGGGGCATGGACCGGGGCCGTTCACGTACCTTCTCCACCTGGTCGTGACACCGCGTCAGTAGCTCCCGGGTCCTTTCGTATGCAGAGTTGATGAGGCTTCGGACCTCCTCGTCTATCAGCTGGGCCGTCGCCTCGCTGTATGGTTTCTCTGCGAGCATCTCGCCCTGCCGCAGGAAGTCGAAGGAGACCTGGCCCAGCTTGTCACTCATCCCAAACTGGACGATCTGGAAGAGAGCAGCCCCGCTAAGCTGGCTAGCTCCACGGGGACGAGCAGAGCCGTTCCCATCCCCCGGGCAGAGACACCTGGCAGCATGGTGCCACCACACACTCCTGGCTCTGGGCGTTACCTGGGCGTAGGCGCTCTGCGTCACCTTCCTCAAGTCGTCCTGAGCGCCCGTGGTGATGCGCCCGAAGAACAGCTGCTCAGCCACCCTGCCGCCCAGCATCATGCACATGCGATCAAACAGCTGCTCCTTGGTGTACAGGTACTGCTCCCGGGGCAGGTACTGCGCGTAGCCGAGCCCCTTGCCCCTGGGGATGATGGACACCTGCAAGACACGAGGCACCTGGTGAGACTGGCCCCGCCGCCACGGCTCCCGGATTCTAGAATCTGCCTGCGAGAGGGAATGCTGGGGCCACCCCCGCCTCCCCTGCGGGAGCACCCCTTGGGCCCGGCTTTTATCCGGAGACACCAGAGCTGGCCAGAAGGGGGCCTGAGAATGAGCATGCTCTTCCCAGAACAGCCCGGCAGACAATGAATGCACTTGACACGGTCAGTGCAAGGGAGGGGTCCGCAACGCTGCCTGCGTGGTGCCCAGCACCCAGGGGCGCTCTCCTCCAGGGGAGGGTGGCCTGAGGCACAACCAAAATGTTCAACAGCCTCCACAGCCATCTGGCACTGAGGGTATAATCCAGTCAACAGAGCGGGCCCATCCGTGCTGCCAGCTCCTCATCCTGACCTGAGCCCCCTGCCGGTCACGCTTGGGGAGGGCGTGTTGTGAAGTTCCAGATCCGCCAGGCTCGAGGCCAGAGCAATGGGAAAGCCCTGTCAGGCTGCCACTGGGAAGCGGGAGCAGGCTAGACACAAACCTTCAGCAGGGGATCAGCATGCTCCAGGAACCACCCCACCACGGCATGTCCAGCTTCGTGATAGGCCACTGTGGTCCTCTCGTTCGGCTGCAGAACCTGGGTCTTCTTCTCGAGACCTGGACACAGGTTCGGGAGAGTCAGCGACACTCATGGGTAGACAGGTACCAGGACCCCATAGCTGGGAGCCAGAAAGTCCCCTGCCCCAGTGAAACAAACCCAGCCGTGTCCACAACACCCAGAAGGGAGAACCCCACTCCTCTCCTTTCCGAGCCAGGGACAGCACCTGGGGCCTTGGCTCGCTGGCTAGGGATGATTCCTGAGGCCCAGCCTGCTCTTTAGGCTCAGGGGAGGCACTGGCCCCTCACATTTCCCCCCTAGAGGGATGTGCCTGGCCATGGGAGCTGCCAGCTCTCTGCGTGGGTTTCTAGAACACAAGCTCAGGAGTTAGGAGCTCACAGCACTGCCGGGAGGTAAGTTGATGCTGTGGTGATTGGAGGGGCCACAGGAGGAAGACAAGGAACCCCTGGACACTCCTGGCTGCGTGGGAGGACGGGAAGATAGAGCGCAGGAAGGGACCCTGAATGTTCATTCACTCGAGCACCTCTTCTGCGGGGCTGGGCCGAGTTCTGGATGGCTGGAAGCGCTGTTCTGAGCCACTGCAGGCCCAGGAGCTGCACGACCGTTAGCTCAGCAGGCTGAGGCTGCAGAGGGCTGGGGCGGCAGCGCTGGGGTTTGCACACGGCCCAGCAGCCCTGCTGCTTTCCATCCCCTGGGGAAAACTTGGTGCTTTTCATTCCAGCGCCTCAGCCTCCTCCATCAGCTGCAGCCCACGATTCTTCCCCGCTTGGCCGAGACTCCCCAGGGAGCACGTGGCTCTTTGTGCCATGCCTGGGAAGCTCTGCAGATGCTACCCTCACCCTGCAGGGCCCCACCCATTGCGTTCCCAGGCTAGCAGGAGTGTGCTCAGCTTAGCTCCTAGGCGGGGGGGCAGGGGGAGGAGGAGCATCACCCCTAAGCCAAGTACGGGGGACACAGAGTCGACTTCCTGACAGCACCAGAGGTGGCTCCCCGACAGCAACGCCCCCTAAGAGAAGTGCCTGGGCATCTCCCTAGGACTCTTCCTTCCCCTCAGCTGGGAGCAGGGCCCGACCACCAGTTGAGCCTGGGCTGAGCCCCAGGGCCCTGGAGAACCCCACCTTGCCTAGCGCATCGTCTGCCAGGCTCAGCAGAAGCCCCGAACCTTCTGAGTCAGTCTCTGCTCTAGCAGCAGAGCTGTGTGGCTGTGCGCAGGGCCAAAGCAAGCTGCAGCAGCCAGCCACGCCCTGCGTGGGTCCCAGAACCCCCCTGTAGCCGCATCCCCCAGCAGAGCTCCGAGCTGGCCTCACCCCCGATGACTCTCTCGATGGCCTGCTCAAAGTGCTTCTCGGCAACAGAGGGATTCAAGTGGCGAGCGGCAATCAAGGCAGCCTCGTTGCAGACGTTGGAGATGTCAGCACCTATGGACAGGAGGGCCACGCCATCAGCCTAGTCCCCACGCCCACGTGAGGAGCCCAGACAAGCCAAGGCAGCTGGAGCGCCCCGCAGCCATGGCTCAGGACAGTCACAGCGAGAAACGGCCAGCAGGGTGAGCGCTACCTCAGCGGCACGGGGCACCACAGGAGCTGACCCGCGTCCCCCAGGCTGCCCGGGCTCTGGGTGTCGAGCAGCAAACCCGGCACCGGTGCAGCACTTGGGCTCCCAGGCACAGGAGCACTCGGGGCGTAGGGCTTTGTGGGGCTGGAACTTGACTGAACCCCCTGCTGGGAGGCTGCTGCTTCACCCCAAGTCCCCTCAGAGGAGGGTGCTGGACTCCTCAGTCACCCTGCCTCACTGGCACCCGCAGAGCCGCGCTCCCCCGCCATTCACACACAGCTAACAGGCTCCCGCCACCCTCCCCTTGGCTAACGCCCCACCGCAGCACAATTCCAGCAGCAGGACCAGCCAGGCAGACCACGGCCCCTCTGCTCAGGTATCCCAGCTCCAGTCCCTGGGGCTCCAAGGAAGGTGGAACCCCCACCAAGCACACCTGACTGAGGGGGGCGCTCTGGACAGAGTGGTGCATACGAACACAGCTCAGGAATAGCCGAGGCGAGTCCTCTGGCCTAGCAGCACTGCAGCATTCTTGTCCCCGCCTGTGTGCACACGTCACACCCCACCGAGAAAGGACCAGTGCGTGGGGGACGGTCCCATTCACAGCCGAAACGGGACCAAGACCGAGAGAACGTGGGGCAGCACCGGGATCCCTCTGCCGTCCTGCAGAACAGGGCGAGGCCTGGCTGCCTTCTGCCATGGGGGCAGCATGCAGACGCGCTAACTCAGCCCTCTGCAGCAGAGACAGAAGAAAACAGTGACTCCAGTTCACCGTGTATTGAACCCTGCTGGAGCTGGAAGGCTGCAATGAATATTTACTGTGCAGCTCATGACCATGTCCATAACGGCAGGAGGCTCACAGCTGCTTTGTCTAGGTACTTCCAGAGCCCCATGGCATCTGTCCTCCCATCACAGCAGATCAGCCAATTGCTACTGCTCCCTCCCCCCACGCCTCCTCCCACTTGGTATTTCCCGGCCACACACCAGTGAATCCTGGAGTCCACGCAGCCAATTTCCGAGCCAGGGCGTCTCTGCTGACGCTTTCCTCCAGTTTCAGGGGCCGGAGGTGGACCTTAAAGATGGATGCTCTGCCTTTGATATCAGGCGGACCTGGGTGAGAACAGAGCCAGAGAGGCTGTTTCAGAACCGAATAATGCAGGGCTCCTACTTCCACACAAGCTCTCCACAGGGACGTCTTCTCCCCACCACCTCGTATCCTCGCCACACTGGACTCACTAGTTAGGGGCCTTTTCTGCCCTGGGTTGGAAGAGAACACTCACAGCCATCTTTATTTACAGTCAGCCGCCCGGAAGTGTCCCTGTTTCCCTGACACGACAGCGATGCCTGTATCCAGAGCACCTCCAGCCGCACAACGTACAGAGATCACTGCAGAGACCCCACGGGCTGCATAACAGCCCCACAGCGACACCACACAGCCAGGATGGTTCGGAAACGGCTGGGGGACTTGAAGGTGCACAGAACGCCCCCAAACTCTGTAACGCCCCCAGTGACACTTGCTGGGCTGGGCTGCCTAGTGGCAAAGGCCTGTTTACAACAGCACCTGCCCCGAGGACAGCTAGAGCCCCCAGTCCCACAAGCCGCTGCCCAGAGCCCTGTGCAGCGTGAGCCGAGATGGTATCAGTGTTGCCCATGACCCCCTTTGGCACTGGGGTAACGGATCTACCAGGCCAGGGTTGGTCTTGCTTCCAGCCCTGCCCGTTTTACATTAACCCCCGCTGGGCTCCCCCCACTCCTTGCAACTCTCATGGAACTCCATGTTTACACAGATCCTGCAACTTCCAGCCAAGCTGGGGGAAATTCAATCTGCTCCACAGGGCAGCAGGCTCCCCACACCAGGCAAGGCGAGAACCAGATCTCCCCACCCCACACTCAGTGGCTCAGCAGCTGGTCCCCTGGCTTTGTGAAGGCAGCGTTAGCAGCTGTAGGGCAAGACAGTTCTTTTCTCTACCACTTATGATCAAGTCTAGGCTGGGGAGCAAGGGAGGAGGGCAGAGCCCGAAGCTGCCTGGGTTAGGCGTGGCAGACATTACCAATGTAAATCTGACGGTCAAAGCGCCCTGGTCTCATCAGCGCAGGGTCCAGAATGTCTGGGCGATTTGTTCCTGCGAGCACCACCACGTTGGTGCTGGAGTTGAACCCTAAACAGAGTGGGAGGAGGTCACACAGATACCGGCAGAGGACAGTGGGGAAGGGAACAAGCAAAATGCACAGGAGACTGGGAGGGCTTGGACTGCCCAGCAGGCTGTGAGGGGCTCACGGCTGTATTGCTGTGTGGGCCCAGTAGACCAGACAGATTCCACTGCTCAAGCCAGACCTTCTGCTTTCACTAGCTTTGAGCAAAAGCCACTATTTAGGCTCTGAGCAGCCGTGCAGCGCCCCTCGCCCTGGCATGTCTGGGAGCACCCGGCACTCTGGGCTGGGGCATTACCAGCGACTTTCTAAGGAGCGCCCTGATGCCCTGCCGCAGGCTGCTTTAGTTGGGGTTGGTCCTGCTTGGAGCAGGGGGTTGGACTAGATACCTCCTGAGGTCTCTTCCAACCCTAATCTCACTCACCGTCCATTTCGACCAGCAGCTGGTTCAGGGTGTTCTCCTGCTCGCTCTGCCCCCCGAAGTTCCCCCGGCCCCGCTTCCGACCGACAGCGTCGATCTCATCGATGAACAGGATGCAGGGGGCATGTTTGCGGGCCAAGGCAAACATGTCCCGAACCTGAAACAGCCACATGCAATGGGTCCACTGGGGTTCCAAGGCTCCAGACAGGCCTCCACTGGCCACTGCCTTTCCGCAGGGATGGGATTCAGCAGGGGCTCTGCAGAGCCAGTCACCCTCTCCGCACCATTGTCCCCAGAGACGGAGCGTCCGGAGGCTCCCCAGGCACGGCTCTGACTGGTCTGGGATGCTCCCGCCAGGGCTGAGGTGGGAGGAGGACAACAGCACCAAGCTAACCCCTCCCTGCAGCCCCGGCCCATCAGCCCGTGCAGTGCATGCGCTGTCCCGAAGCACCAACGAGCCAAGGGGGCTCACATGAGCCTGTGGCTAACGCAGTTGCCCTGGGCCTGGAGGAGCCAGGCCCAGCTTTTGCCCGAGACTCCTTTCTCCTTGCAAAGAGCCTTGGGAATAGAACCAGTGGAAACTGATGGCTCGGGCTGAAAGGACCACACAGCTGGGCTCTCCACTGCAGCAGGAGGCTGGTGGGATGGGACCCAGAGATGCCCCATGGCGCACATATCTTCTCCCCCAACCCTTGAGCCAGCCTTGCACAAGGGGGTGACGATGGGTCAGCAGGAGCAGCTAGGCTTGTGGAGGGAGGAAAGTCCCAAGCCATCCCTTCACGGCCTGCTCAGAACCGCCAGTGCCGGCTCCACTGGCTAAAATGTGCCTCCTTCCTGTGCTGTGTACTTGGGCAGCCTCCCCATCACTGCCCCATGCCCCGCTTGCCAGCAGGCCCAGTGTGACAAAGTGGGACTGTTCTTAACGTTTTCTCTGAATAGTGTGGGGGTGCCTCAGTTTCCCCTATGCAGTTCTTAAGTATCTAGGTGGTGGGATAAGGGTGTATGATCGTTGCAGAGCCCTAGAGGGTAGGTGTGTGCAGGGGTCTGGACACAGAGAATGGCCAGCTCCCTGTTTCCTGGCAACTGAAGGCCTGGGCCCTTCCCCCCAGCAAAGTGAGAGCTAAAGGGTTGGAGAACAAAGGAATCCGGTGACCTCCTGACCAGGGAAAGGGACAAAGCCCAGAGGAGAAGGGGCTGGAGGGTGAGTCTGTTTGGGGCTGGCTGGGGAGGAAGACTGAAGTGCAGACGTGGTTGTCTGGCTCACTGCCCCCAAAATGGACCCGGCTGAGGGGTCCTGTTCTCTGTACCTACAAGCTCTGTTTTAGACCATGTTCCTGTCATCTAATAAACCTCTGTTTTACTGGCTGGCTGATGGTCACATCTGACTGTGGAGTTGGGGTGCAGGACCCTCTGGCTTCCCCAGGACCCCGCCTGGGCGGACTCGCTGTGAGAAGCGCACGGAGGGGCAGAGGATGCTGAATGCTCCGAAGTCAGACCCAGGAAGGTGGAAGCTGTGTGAGCTTTTTGCCCTGCAGACAGTCTGCTCCCAGAGAGGAGACTCCCCCAGAGTCCTTCCTGGCTTCGTAGGGAGCAGTTCCAGAGCATCATCCGTGGACTCTGTGACACGCAGCTGCTGCAAGTGGGAGCCCTGCACCCAGCCAGCCCTTGCCTGCCCAGCCCCAGACAGGAGGCAAAGAGCCAGTACTGGAAGAGAGGCTGGAGCCCAGCTGCCTTCCTGTCCTGCCACCACCCAGGGAGACCCACGCTCCCCAGGCTCTCATGGCAGCTGAGAGCCATCCCCACCATCTAGCTCCAACACCAGAGATGACCCCTGCAGAAGGGACTTGCGCTTCCTCTGGGGAGCCCTTGTGAGCTGCGCTGCCGCAGACTTACCCGCGCGGGCCCCACACCCACAAACATCTCCAGGAACTCCGAGCCATTCACCGAGATGAAGGGAACGTTGGCTTCTCCCGCCGTTGCTTTGGCCAGGAGGGTTTTCCCGGTGCCCGGTGGGCCCGTGAGCACAGCACCCTGCAGCAGAGACAACAGAGACCAGCGCTAGCGTGGGGCCGTCAGCAGGGCTGCCAAGGCTGCTCCAAGCGCCCTGTCACCTGGTGCCCCGGGGCATGTCTGGGGACTGGTTCCCTCCCAGCAGCCTCCGCTAGAATCACTCGTAGCAGGCCTGGCCTGCAGGACAGGGACAGACCTGGCTGCCTGTCGGCAGAGTCCAGCACTGCCAGCACCCAGGGCTCCACAGCACCTAGGATCACCAGATGGCGCCGTGCCACAGGGCCCGAGGGGAACGGGTCACTGGGCTCCGAGCTGGCTTCCCAGGGCCAGCAAGGGAAGGAAGCTGAGACAGCGTGTCCATGTGCGTGCACAGACACCTGCTCCCCCTCCCCTGCCCCCCCCCCACGCCTTGCACCCCGCACACCCTGGTGCCTCCTACGCCTCAAAACAGCGCGTTCACCGGCACTTACAGGTGCCACTAAGCCGGCCCACACCAATGACATTATCGTCCCCGCGGTAACCAACGGACATCCCAGGGAAAAGAGAGGCGACTAAACCCACAAGTTTAAACCCACGGCCCGGGTCCGTGAATCCGAGCGTCCCCGCTGCACAGCTGTGAAAGCTTCAGTGCTCCTCGCGGAGCCGGGCACTCGCAGCACGCCCTCTCCGCACCACGCTGATAAACGCTCCCCACCGTCTGCGGCAAGGGAACCCATCTGTAGGCCGAGCTACGTATGCAGCACGGCTCAGGCCTGGGACACAGGCCACGGGTCTGGACGAGCTGCCCTCTGCCGTTCCTTGGGCCCACCTTTCCTCACTCTTTTCTCCGTTAGTCACAAAGCTCAGCTCAGGGTCCTGGACCCCTTGGAGCCCCCAGGACAGCGCTCCAACAGCTCAGCAGAGGGGACCCAGCCACCCCTCCCTGAGACGGCACCTTTGGGATCTTGGCGCCCAGGTCCTGGTATTGTTTGGGGTTTTTCAGGAAGTTCACGAACTCCATGATCTCCAGCTTGGCTTCCTCGCAGCCGGCCACGTCTCGGAACTGCACGTCGACGTTGTCTTTCAGGATCTTGGCCGTGGTCTCGCCAACGCTGAAGAGCCCGCCCCCTCGTCCTCCGCGCCCAGCTCCCATTGGCCCGCGTCTCAGAGTGAACAGAAGGAAGCCAACCAGCAGCAGAGTGGGCACCATGCTCATGAGGAACGTGCTGGGAGGGGAGAGAAGCACAAGCCACTGTCACACAGCAACAATGGTGCCGCAGAGCGCCCGCAGCCGGCCCGGGCTCCAGCCGCTCCCCCGGCTGGCACTCACCCGTCACTCTCCCTGGTGTAAATCACTGCGACCCGCTGAGCGCCTTCCATTCCCAGCTCCAGCTGGGCAGTCTCCAGGTTCCGTTCAAAGGCATCGACGCTGCCGATGTTAAACCAGACGTACCTCTGCAGGGACCAGGGACAGACCCGGAGCCAGTCAGTCGCTGCATCGGCCTCCGCCCCCCACCCATGGGCAGGATCCCCGGCTGGGCCCAACAAGCCACCAGCAGGACCAAGCGCTGCCCTCTGCCTGCTGCACTCACTGAGCTATCTCACAGGGCAGCTGCATCAGAGGCCTCTCCACCCTCCCTGGGCACATCAGCAACATGCAGAGAGCGCACGGCCTCCACTCTGGGGGCAGGGACGCTCTGTGGCCCCAGCAGCCCGGCTTGTGCTGTGGGGCTCTGTACAGGACATGCTCACCTGGGGGCTTCCCTGTCCTCCCCCAGTTCTTTGTGTGCCTGTGCTGAGACCTCTCCTCCCCCACACCTAGGAAACAATCCCATTACCTCCGAGGTCACACCCGGCACAAGGACCACGCGCACAAACTGTTTGTTCACCACTTCCAGACGGTCCACCTAAGACAGACAGACAGACAGGCAGGCGATGAGACAGCCCCTCCCTAGCCCTGGCCTGGCAATCACACCGCCCGTCCCCAGCCCCGGCCTGGCGAGCCAGCCCCTGATCGCACCGCCCGTCCCCAGCCCCGGCCTGGCGAGCCAGCCCCTGATCGCACCGCCCGTCCCCAGCCCCGGCCTGGCGAGCCAGCCCCTGATCGCACCAGCCCCTGATCGCACCGCCCGTCCCCAGCCCCGGCCTGGCGAGCCAGCCCCTGATCGCACCGCCCGTCCCCAGCCCCGGCCTGGCGAGCCAGCCCCTGATCGCACCGCCCATCCCCCAGCCCCCGATCGCACCCCCCGCCCTGGAGAGCCAGCCCCCATCCACCGCCCTGGCGGTACAGCCCTTGTTTGTAAAGGGGCAGCTGCTCTCCCGGGAGTAATTACCAGACACCCTGGGGGAGCTGGCAGCCAGAGGCAACAGTCCTTTTAACCCAACCCCACTGGAAAGGGGAGGGTGCAATTAAAGCCTGTCTACGCTCCCCGGATGGCAGAGCCCCTGTGATAAGCTCAGGCCACCCTCATCCCCCCAGCCATGACAAACTCTAAGCATTGTCCATCCAGCAGCAATCCCAGTAGCGCCTCAGCCGGGACCAGCCGAATGGCGTCAGCAGTGTGGGGAGCGGGCAGCAAGGGCAGTTACGCAGGCATGGCGAGGGGCTCCCAGCCCAACAGCAGAGCAGCACCAGGACACAGGTCTGGGGAAGTCTCCACGTGCCGCCTTACTGAGAGAGCCAGCCCCCACCTGGGGTTTCCCATAATTACTGGGGCCCAAGAAAGCAGGGCACAGAGTCAGTCTCCAGGGAACAATTGTGGGGTGTCTGTTCACATAATATGCTAGCTTTAAGGTAGGCTTCACAGGGTGCACACAACAACCCAGAAGCCCCCACTATCCTGATGTAGTTGGTGGCCAGCCCGGAGCACTGACGGCCAGGAGCGCTCTGGGGCACCCCTGATAAGAACAGATCGGAGAAGTGAGCTCAGAATCTCTGCTTCCTAAGACAGACACACAGAGACACTGACGCCCTTCCAGACCTCATAGTTGTGGTGAAACGCTGGACAACATGAACCAAGCATAAATGGACACAGAGGTGCTTGCCTGACTCTGCAGAAAACCTAAAACAACAACTTGGAAGTTCAAACCGCCCCATTATTAATGAGGTGTTAACTCTGAACCCTAAGGATGGCAACTTGTGCCACACTGAAAACTGAAATTTTGGAGACAGCATAAAATAGACAAAGTCAAAATAAAACAACAGAGGCTCTGGCAGGGACTGCATTATTAATTCAATACATCCCTCTCCTCCAGTTATATGAAGCTGCCGCAGAACCTAGGGACCTTGCCCCAGGATTTAGAGGCAGTTGGCACAGGGCACACAAGGCCTTGCAAGTTACATGCTAGAGATAAAGGGCAGCCCTGGGCTAGTGTGGGACCCCTCGCACAGGATCATTTGATGTGTAACACCCAGTCCTCTGGGAAAAATTGGCAGGAAGTGAGGAATGGGAGTAAAGGGGTGCCCATGCTCTGATAACGGGGCTCTCCCTGATCAAAACAGAAGTTGCCCCCTGACTCCAGCCTCAGAATGGTGCCTGAATAGTCACTGCTTTCCAGCGGCCCTCTGGGGGTGGTCTCCCCCAGCCTAAAGTCAGCAGGATTCAGAGGTGACTTAGTAGCCCAAGCACTGTGCTAGTAACAAGTGGACAAATGGGAAAAACGTGCACAATGAGCCAGGAGAGAGCCATTCTCACTCACACAGATGACATTTCCTCACCAATCCTCTAGCCAAGTAGTAATGGACAAAATGCTTCCAGTTGATTTCTCTGCCAGGATCTCGCCAAAAAAAATAGAGGAATCCCACAGCAGCGCCTGCCCCCATGACAGCCAGGTAGCCGAAGTTTTTGTCATCCCAGGGGAACTCTCCCTGGGGTGGGAGGAAAGGAAAGAACACTAAAAGTCAGCAGCCTGATTCCAACTGGGAAATAAACACCCAGCATTCAGAATTAGCCTGGGAGCAACTGTCAGTTCCCTGCTGCCCCCTGCCCTGACAGCCAGCCCCACAGTGCTGCTGAACGATTCAGAGCAGGCTGCTGGCACACCAGATTCGAAAGGGGTGCACAACTGCTCTAACTGTGAAGAAACAGCCAGTGCATCTGTGCTGCAGCCCCACCCTGGTCTCCGAACGCGGAGCCTGTCTACACTGAGCGCTCACATGTAGAGCTGGAGCCCAGTGCATCAGACTGGAGTCAATGCCTGTACTCGTGCACCAGGGTGCAGTTGGGCCTGGGCCCCCATACTCTGCCTGAGAAGGGACGCGCGGGCAGCCTGAGCACCGATCTGACGTGCTGCCCAACCAAACCACAGGAAACATCAACCATTCGCACCTCGAACGTGGAGGCGTGGCCTGCAGAGTACAGGTCCCAGGATGCCTTGGCCACCCGACCCAGAAGGAACACACAGTCATCACTAGCCACACCTCTGGCTCTGAGCTGCATGTCACATAGCTTTATTCATGCGTCCTTTCCAAGGTAGCCCCCCACCCCACTGTCTCACAGAGCTAATGTTAATCCCGAAAGAAAAACTATACCTAGATCCCTCCAACAGAGAAATTCTGCACCGTTTTTAGTTACTATAGGCAAAAAGCAAAAGGGTTTGTAATCCAGGTTTGTAACCCTCACAGGAAACTCCAATGACTCTGAAAAAAGGAAGCTGATGCAGTTAGTGACTTCTGTCACGTATCTAACTACAGCACTGCCATTAAAATACCCACGTATTAGCGACAGGAAATGACTAGTTCAGATCACTCATGTCAATATTCTATCGATTCACCACTCTCCTGAGGGGAAAGTTCACCCTACACATTCCAACCACCACCTTCGCCCTGACCTACGGGACAGGCTAAAGAACTCTTTCAATCCAGACGTCCCTCACTTGTGAGTCCGGGCTGTGGGCCAGCACTAAGGTTCCCCCTGTGATTTGTAGAGTTTTCACATGGATACTGTCCTTAGCCAAGGGAACATTTCCTGCCATCGCTCATTTCCTGTCTCTTCAGTGCTTGGGTATTTTGAATGGCAATGCTATAGGTAGGCATGGTACCTAAGGGTTATACAGCAATTTCAGCTTCCTTAACCCCGAGTTAATTAAGTTTGTGTTTAGGAGTTTCCTAGTTTTTAAAAAACAAACCCACACAAGGAGCAGTGAGTCTGACTGGCAGGAAAACCTTTACATCACAGATCTCAAACTCAAATGACCACGAGGGGCCAACGTACTAGTCCTCATGTGGCCGAGGGCCGCACCACTGACCACCCACCTCCCGCTGCCCTGGCCCTGCCCCCACTCCACCCCTTCTGTGAGGCCCCACCCCTTCCCTGCCCCCATTCCAACTAAGCCCTGGCCACTGCAGCCCTGTATGTGATTTGCTGTGGAATATTATATCCGCGGCTTGCGATGGATATTGTATTCCCACAGCTGCTGCTGGGGCACAAACAGAAACGTTTCGGACACAGGGTCCAAAGTGACGGTTATGGTGAGTGACTGTGGTGAACATTACGCTGGAGCGATCTGAAGGAAGAGCCAGACAGCAGATTTACACTGCAAACAGGGAGTCACTTGAACCACTAAACTAATGAAGAGATTTACGTGGGACTTTCCAGGCAATTCAGTCTGCCCTGCAAGAGACAGGGCGATGAACCCTGTGGGGACGGAGAAGGATTTTCGGAATGAACAAAGGGACATAATCCTTCTGGAACCTTAACTGTCATTGCCCCGTAACAGAGCTACTGACCTTCCACATGCGCCTCCACCACCCAGAATCCTCCTTCTTCCCTCCTCTCTTGCCACCACCTCCTCCGCCATCTCCCCCATGACCGAGCGCTTTTGGAGGGAGGCCTAGGGAAAAGAAAGGTGCGTTAAGACAGACAATGGGCTTTGAGAAGAGACATAAAGAAGCCCAACTTCCTCATCCCATTCACATGCCGAACAGCCAGCCCATTTATTAAATAAGCCAGCCCTGTTTGGAAGGTCTAATGAAAAAATATTTAAAAAGAGGTTGACAGGGCAAGTGAGATAAAGCCAACTGTACTCAGAAACCTACAGAGCAATGGGGATTTTACAGATCTGAACTGAGGTGTATCAGCAGATCCTATGGAGGTGGGCAGGACTCGAATAGAGAGAGAGTTGGGTGTCAAGACAAGGGCTGAATTCTCAGAGAAGTGGTGGTGGGGAAACGTACTGACTCATGGTCATGGACTATGCGAGTATTTTACACACATCCACACTGTAGCAATCGTTATCCAGCCCCTCACTAAAACTCCCACTCCTGAGCATCTTTTGAAAACCTAAGGACCAGCCCTGGAGGATTTAGGACTGTTTACCTTTAGTCTCGTGAGCATCCTCTGCTGGGCCGGAACTTCTTCCATTCTTCTTAAAATACTTCTCAAAGCCTTAGAGAGAAAGTGATTGTGTTTTGGTTATTTAAAGGTACAGTGACACTGGACAGACACTGTCCAGTCAAAGAGCCCCCTCTCTTTATAGGGGAAAGATTCTGGGCAAACCAGGAAGACACTAAACCAAAACCAAAAGGTGAGGGGAAATGATTTTGATGACAGCCTTCTGAATGGACTGCAGGGGGCAGATTAGTATCTACACAATTGGAGAGAAGGAGGTTACAACAGTCAATACCAGATATTATTAGAGCACATAGTTTTACACTTATTTACCAAACAGCATTGTCCAAGAAAGAAGATCTCTGCTTCTGGGATCTAACTTGGACAGATCGATCCAAGGGAAGGAAGAAACACCTGCTAGCTAGTATGTTGCTGCCTCTGTAGAGGGAAGGTCTCTGCACAGAGGAATGCCTTGCATTGCACTCTTTGAAAGTCTACAGACAAAGACATCCTGATCTCTAGTGGGGATCCATCCCCCCATTCTGTGGTTCAAAGGCTGGAATGCAGACTAAGCCAGGAGAGGGACTCACTCAGCTCACATCGGTTACCTTCGACTATCCCACTGCACAGGGGAGTTCTGGAGAAAAGGTGCCCCAACATTCAGGTTTGAGGTGATTTTGTGGGAATATAGATCAGGGCAGCAGGCAAGAGCCCTGCAACACAACACTTATCAAAGGGCCAGGAGCAGTTTGAATCTAGGCAGTTGCAGAAAGTGAGTTACAGTGAGGTTTGGGCCCTGCCCGAGTCCCCCTGCCGATTTGTCTGGATTTATAGCCACAAGAATCTCAGCTGTTACCCGAAACACACATTAAAAAAACCTACCCTTAAACAGAAGTGTGATTTTTAAGCTGATGACATCCCTTTAACATCACTAGGGGCTATTATTATTATTAATGGGCCCAGGGCCTACCAAGCGATGTACACTATTAGGTGTATTATGGTAGCACCTGGGAGCATCACGGCCCAGGACCCCATGGTGTCAGACAAAGTACAAACACAGAACAAAAAATCGATCCCTGACCCAAGGAGTTCAGCCAGATCTCTGGTCCCCATTGTTTTAGATCTTTAATGATCCTTAGACCTGTAGCAGCAGCCCACCTTCTGTGTGTAGTGTTGTTCTGCAATCCATTCCCAAGCCCCTTTCACTCGGGGCTTGCATTCGCTCTCTTCTTGTTTAAGGTCTATATCCCTCTGCAAACCACAGCTACACTAAGAAAGCTAGTGAAGTAAAAGGCCCTACAGGTAGCCTTGCTGGAGACACATACCTTTGGGTGGTTTTGAGCAGAGCCATTGCCAAGAGGACGCTCTGCTCCCCGGGTTGTCCTGCTGCAGGGTGCGGATCCCCTCGAGCCACTAGAACAGCAAAGAGTAGTCTCACGTACACCATCGACACAGGACTGTACTGGCTCTCCGGGGGCAGGCACCCCACAGAATGATCAGAGCGCTAGGGTGCTCCAACTGCCTTCTGGGACTGTAGGCCGCCCACGCGTAAACTAGAGCCGCGCCGAGGCTGCTCTAACTGACAGTAGGCGCCACGCAGACCCAGCATGCCAGGAGGCACAAAGCAACCCTCGCCCCGCCTCCCCAGTCCTGCATGCAGTGCTCCTCAGCTGGACCCTGACTTAGCCCCTCGGGGTGGGCTCTGGCAGGGCCCAGGAGACTCGGCGCTGAGCTAGGCCTTGCCTCGGTGCCCGGGCTGGCAGAGGACGGGCCTGGCCCCCATGCAGCTGGGGGTGGGGGCGCCAAGCCTGGGCGGCTCTGTGGGCAGCTGGAGAACTCGGAGCACCCCGGGAGGGGCAGGAGAGGGCCGGGCCCTGCCCCCCAGAGCACCGCGATGGGGGGAGGGGAGGGGCCGAGGGCGCAAGGGGCGGGGCTTTCACACCGTTCACAGCTGTGCACCCCTCCCACCCACAGCCTCGTTCTAACAACCAGACCACGCCCCCTGACCAGCGCTTCTCTCCGGCCACAGGGACGTCATCACCGCGCGGAGCGCGCCCCGATGACATCATCGGCGCGACGGCTAGCGCCGTTGCACGGGCACACGGAGCCGTACGTGTTACGACAATGCCGGAAAAGAAACCGTCGCCTCTCACCTGCCGGATCGGTGCCCGGTCCCTGAGCCCAGCCCCTGCGTGCGGCCGGCAGCCCCCTCGCCACAGGGCAGCGAGAGGCGGCCCCAGAGTCCCCGACGCGAGCCGATGAGCCATTCTCCGCGGGTGCGCCGCGCGTGGAGGCGCATGCGCAGAGTTCACTCCCGCGAAGTCTGTGTGCACATGCGCCTTGCCCCTCGTCCTGGGCCGGGCTTGGGCGGAAGCGCCTGACGCCGGGGGAGGGACAGGAAAGGCGCCCCTGGGGTCCCAGCGAGACATTCCGGGTAGGGACGAGCGGTGGGGCCTTTGGTTCCGGGCTGCCCAGAGCGGACTCCCAGCGCAGGGACAAGAGATGGATACCCCCGCCCCCGCATGTCTGCACTGCATGGGGTGGGGGGATTGCACTCCTGGAGACAGACCCCAGCTAGCTCCTACCCCGCCATGTCTGCACTGCATGGGGTGGGGGGATTGCAGCCCTGGAGACAGCCCCAGCTAGCTCCTACCCCCCATGTCTGCACCGCATGGAGTGGGGGGATTGCAGCCCTGGAGACAGCCAGCTAGCTCCTACCCCGCATGTTGCACGCATGGGGGGGGGGATTCAGTGGAAGCCCCAGCTAGCTTCTCCCCCCCTTTTTCCGCATGGGGTGGGGGGATTGCAGCCCTGGAGACAGACCCCAGCTAGCTCCTACCCCCCATGTCTGCACTGCATGGGGTGGGGGGATTGCACTCCTGGAGACAGACCCCAGCTAGCTCCTACCCCCCATGTCTGCACTGCATGGGGTGGGGGGATTACAGCCCTGGAGACAGACCCCAGCTAGCTCCTACCCCGCCATGTCTGCACCGCATGGGGTGGGGGGATTACAGCCCTGGAGACAGACCCCAGCTAGCTCCTACCCCTATGTCTGCACTGCATGGGGTGGGGGGATTGCACTCCTGGAGACAGACCCCAGCTAGCTCCTACCCCCCATGTCTGCACTGCATGGGGTGGGGGGATTACAGCCCTGGAGACAGCCCCAGCTAGCTCCTACCCCCCATGTCTGCACCGCATGGGGTGGGGGGATTGCACTCCTGGAGACAGACCCCAGCTAGCTCCTACCCCCCATGTCTGCACTGCATGGGGTGGGGGGATTGCAGCCCTGGAGACAGACCCCAGCTAGCTCCTACCCCGCCATGTCTGCACTGCATGGAGTGGGGGGATTGCAGCCCTGGAGACAGACCCCACCTAGCTCCTACCCCCCATGTGTGCACTGCAGTGGGGGGGAGATTGCAGCCCTGGAGACAGACCCCAGCTAGCTCCTACCCCGCCATGTCTGCACTGCAGTGTGTGTGTGGGGAGGGGATTGCAGCCCTGGAGACAGACCCCAGCTAGCTCCTGGAGCGCCCCCCTGGCTTCCTTTCAAAGGGACAGCATGACTAGCACACGGAGAGAGAACTGAGCTTCCATTTCTGCTAAAACTAACCCCGTAGCTGCAGGGGCCTAGGCTCACCCCACCAGTGCATGCCCAAGCTGGGCTTGTACTGGTAGGTAGGTCACCAGACCAAGCCAAGCTATGCCCCCCGTTGGTCCTGGTCTGGCCAAGGCCCAGATGGGAAGCTCTGTTAATCTGTGTGCCAGCAGATGCTGAGTCATGCTGTAATCTTTAATCCATTAGCAACTGGACTTTCCTCCCCAGGCTTCAGTGCAACCGGTTGAGTAATGACAGACCCAGCAGCAGCATGTAACCTCAGTGACCCGTTTGGCCTGATCCCCACCGCCCCATCCTTCAACAAATGAGCAACAACAATACTCCATTAAAATGATCAAATACAGCGGTTTATTGAATCAATATCATTGTACGTTAGATTCCTGTGCTACTATCCCCCATTCCTCCCCCTTCCTACAGTCACCAAGATGTGGAGTAACCACAGGGAAACTTTCCAGGGGGTTTTGTTTTTGTCATTCACTGTTTCCACTTTTGGATGGCGGAGACATCACTGCTGCAAAGGTCCTGGTTCTGTCCTCCCTTGCTGTGCAGGTTACAGGGCAGCTGTGTCAACTAACCAGGTTTGTTCTCATTAAGAAGTGACTCCTTGGCAGGAGGGCAGGCATGGCAAGGAATCAGACTGCAGGATAAAAGGGTAGACAGACACAAGAAAAGGGTTGGAAGGGACCCCAGATCATCTGTCCAACCCGCCAAAGCAGACCACCCAGTTAAATCACCCAGCCAGGCTTTGTCAACCTGACCTTAAAAACCCTAAGGAAGAGATTCTACCACCTCCCTAGGTAACATTCCAGTGTTTCACCACCCTCATAGAAAATTTTTCCTAATATCCAATCTAAACCTCCCCACTGTAACTTGAGACCATTACTCCTCGTTCTGTCATCTCCTACCATTGAGAACATCTAGACCATCCTCTTTGGAACCCCCTTTCAGGTAGTTGAAAACAGCTATCAAATCCCCCTCATTCTTCTCTTCTGCAGCTAAACAATCCCAGCTCCCTCAGCCTCTCCTCATAACTCATATGTTCCAGACCCCTAATCATTTTTGTTGCCCTTCGCTGGACTCTCTCCAATTTATCCACATCCTTCTTGAAGGTGGGGCCCAAAACTGGACACATACTCCAGATGAGCCCACCAATGTCGAATAGAGGGGAAATCAGCCTGATTGCTTATGCCCCTACTTATACATCCCAAAATGCCATTGGCCTTCTTGGCAACAAGGCACACTTGACTCATATCCAGTTCGTCCACTGTCACCCCTAGGTCCTTTTCTGAGAACTGTGCCTAGACATTCGGTCCCTAGTCTGTAGTGTGCATTGGGTTCTTCCGTCCTAAGTGCAGGACCTGCACTTATCCTTATTGAACCTCATAGATTTCTTTTGGCCCAATCCTCAATTTTCTAGGTCCTTCTGTATCCTATCCCTCCCCTCCAGTATCTACCACTCCTCCCAGTTTAGTATATCGAAATTTGTGAGAGTCAATCACACCATCCTCCAGATCATTTATGAAGATATTGAACAAACGGCCCCAGAACTTGGGGACACCATTGATACGCTGCCAACTAGACATGAGCCATTGATCACTACGTTGAGCCGACAATTTAGCCAGTTTTACCCACCTTTAGTGCATTCATCCAGCCATACTTCCTTAATTGTGAAAGAATACTGTGGGAGAGTGTAAAAGTTTGCTAAAGTCAAAAACAATACATCCACTGTTTCCTTCATCCAAAACAGTAATCTCATATAGAAGGAATTAGATTAGTCAGGCATGACCTTCCCTTGGTGAATCCATGTTTTCCTGATCACTTTCCTCTCATGTAAGTGCTTCAGGATTGATTCTTTGAGGACTGCTCCATGATTTTTCAGGGATGAAGTGAGGCTGACTGGCCTTAGTTCCAGGATCCTCCTTCTTCCCTTTTTAAAGATTGGACTAATTAGCCTTTTCAGTCATGGACCGGTTGAATTTTCAAAGTATGTTCACAATGTAGCTGGAAACATGCCTCACATACTCGATATACAGACACACACTAGCTCTGCTTGAGCTTCCGGCTAAAGATAGTAGTGTGGCATGGCCTAGCCCAGGGGTCGGCAACCTTTGACACCTGGCCCATCAGGGTAAAGCCACTGGCAGGCCAGGCCGGTTTATCTGGAGTGTCCCCAGGCATGGAGCCCCGCAGCTCCCACTGGCCGCGGTTCGTCGTTCCTGGCCGATGAGCGCTGTGGGAAGCAGTGGCTGGCATGTCCCTTGGCCCGCGCCACTTCCCGCAGGAACGGCGAACCGCGGCCAGTGGGAGCTGCGGGGCTCCGTGCCTGCAGACGCTCCAGATAAACAAACTGGCCCACCAGTGGCTTTACCCTGACGGGCCAGGTGCCAAAGGTTGCCAACCCCTGGCCTACCCCATGAGCTCAGAGCTGCAAGGAGGGCAGATGGGCTTGTACTCATGTGGCTAGCCCATGCCACAACATTCACACTGCTATTTTTAGCCTGGTAACTCAAGCAGAACTAGCTGTATCTGTCTACCCGGCCTAGGAGGTACACTCCCAGCTGCCATGCAGACATAGCCTCTTCCCCTATCTTTACCCTTCCAGGTACAGGCAGGATCATGCCATCTGTTCTGTCTGTGGTACCTTTCACATTGGTGGTTTATGCTAGTTGAAGCACCCCCGAAGTTACAGACGCCTAGGGTCTGGTAACAATGCATGAACACAGATTTGTCTGGGGCTCAGGTGCAACACAGTAGCTGCTGCATTCACTCTTTCCAAGGTGCATTTAATAAAGACCATGGAGCAGCTGGCCTAGGGACTGAGACTGTCTCTTGTCACAGGTGCAACAGCGCTGGGTCTAATAACCTGACTGCCAGAAGTTTATACAAGATACCATGGAAGAACAGGTGGGAATTGCACCCTTCCCCCTGGACTGCCCATCCTGCCACCGGCTAGCACATGTGGCCACACCTGTGGCATATGCTGCTTGTCCGGCTTCTGCAAGCGCGTGGAACAACAGGTTCAGCAAGTGCTCTTCCATGCCTCACTCATTTAAACCTAGGCTCTGGTGACTAGGCAGGAGTAGAAAACAGGCTCGCGCTGCTAGTCCTGCCCTCTGAACTGGGGGAGGGGGCCAGGAGAACACTTTCTTCTTCAGACTTTATCATTGCAAGATTAGGAACTAAATTTAAAAAAACCCAACCACCTCACCCCAGCTTCACAACCATCCTCCCCGCTGCCTGCCTGGAGCCTCCTGCCTGCCTGGAGCCTGCCATCTCACTCTCTCACCCACACAGGCAAACAAAGTGTTTCTAGAAACCAAGAAAAAGATCCACCTGTAAGTCAGGGACTTACAGGATAAACAAGGATTCTGTAGCAAGGTTTGTTATTTCTACTCAAATAGAACCAACGTACAGGAATTAAAGTGCTCACACTAGTGTTCAAGCAGTGCACACCCTCCCTGGCAGAATCGCCATTAAACAGAAACCCAGTAAGAGAAGGCTGAGGCAGCAGCTCACTCTTCGAAGAGTGTCCCAGACATGTAGTGGTTTATTTTAACGAAGAGACAAGGGCCAGCTTTCTCCGGAGAGGTAGAACTGCTGTCGCAGACCCTTTCTCCAAGAGCTCGCCTCTGGTCAGAACCCAGGACAGGGACATTTCAGCCTAGCAGGTGAACGTTAAAAACACCTGAAAAGGGAGTTAAGAGTTTAAGGGCTTGGGCCATGACAACTACACCAGACCCTGAGTATCCAACATCTGCACTGAAAAGGGGAACCAGCAGCATCGCACCCAGAGGCTGAGTCCATGCTAGTGTGAAGTGGGAGGGTTTCAACGTGTAACAGCCCTAGGGGCGGGATGCGGTCAGGGGGTAGGAAAAGTTTCATTTGAGGAGAACTATTGAGAAAGAAATGAAATGAGCATGTGAAAACAGAGTGTGGGGGTTAACAGAAGCCTAGTAATAAACCCAGTGTTTGCTAATAGCAAACACTATAATCCAAGCAGAGGAAGAGGTCAGAGGCACTATGGAAACTGGCAATAATGGCCCTCCACGCACTACATTGGCTAAGGGGGGAAGGGGTGCTACCTTTGGCCCATCTCGGTTCCCAGAGGGGTCTGACTGCTCACACCCCGTTCAGCAGAGGTGGTGTTTCCATTCCAATCCCCTTTGATCAGACTCCAGCTCTAGGCAAGAGTTCAGGACCTCTGCTAGCTTCAGCTGCCCTTAGCACTGGGACTAGAAGAAAGTCCCTTATCCAAAGGGAGTGGAAATGGCCCAGCACGTGAAAAGTGTCCTCTGGGAAATCAGGCAAGCGGGTTACAAAGAGGTAATGTGTGTTTCACTTGCTATCCAGGGCGTTTCATACACAGCCCCTCCCCCAGGGGTGCGAGAGCCCCACGCAGACCAGCTGAGCACAGCACCAGCTGGGGTGGCGGGAGCAGAACCGACAAGAGGAAAAGCGATTAGAACAAAGCCCGCTAGTTCCCACTTCCCCCAGGGATGGAGGGGCTTGGCCCTGCCCGCTAGTTCCCACTTCCCCCAGGGATGGAGGGGCTCGGCCCTGCCCAGAGCCTGCAGCCCTGCCCCCCCTGTTGTAGAAAAAGGAAGACTAAAGGGATCAGTGCTCATCCCTGAGCTGTCACTCAGGAGCTCCGTCGGACTGTCACTGCCCAAAGCCTGCGACCCCCCTTGCCGGGCCCAGCAGCCGTGAGTCCTTGGTTCTGCTTGTTGAAAACACCCACTACTGAAACCCCAACGGCTGTCCTGTAGTGGGGAGGTGTGACTGCGGCTTGGGGAGACAGACCCCAGCCGGCTCCTAACCCCCCGCAATCTATCCCAGTAACAGCAGCAACAAGACAGATGAGGCAAGAGGCAGGATGGAGGGAGGGGGGGAGGCCCTGGTGCTCTCTTTCACCCAAACACCCTGCGTAAAGCAGCAGCAGCAGCCCCCCCTCCGTGCATTGTTTAATTCCAGGGCGTACCACTCAAAAGGGGCCCCGGGGGACGGGGCTGGCTTAGAGTTCAATGCTCAAGGTGCCCATCCCATGTACTTTTTTTATTTAAAGGGATGACTCTGAACATCTCCTGCCTTTCCTGGCCCTGGCAAGGGAGAGCGGCAGCCGCACTGCGGGAGACAGGGGCTGGCAGCCGGTTCAGTTACAGCTGCGTGTAAGGGCCAGGTCTGGATCCCTCTGTCTGCCATTGGCCCTGTGGCTCAAGCAAGGTGGTGGGGGAGGCCGGTGCCATTCTTCACTCCTGCAGCAGTCAGTGGTATGGAGCCAGCAGGGTGTCTCCAGTACCACGCGGAGTGCAAGCCCTACGCTCCCAGCGCCGAGGAAAGATGCTGATCCTGCTCTGGGCACTGCCGGGCTGGGCACAGAAATAAATACAAGACTAAAGCAGCTAGACTCCAACCTGAGGCCTTGGCCTCTGAATAGCACAGGAGGATCTTGGGAAAGGCCAGGTAATGAGTAGCTCTACATCAGCTCCACACTCATCTCTGCGAGTCTCTCTCTCTGAGAGGTGCCACCCGCATTTGTGGGGAGCTGGAGGGAGCCAGCGCCAGATGCTGGCAGGCTTTGAGCAAGAAGCAACAAGCTCCAGCCTGCAGGCCATAGCATTCGCGTCCTCTCTCAGCAGAGGGTATAGACTCCAGGGGAGCCAGCGAGATCAGCCTAGCAAGGCTGAGAACCGAGCGCGAACTATTCCACCAGCACGCACCGGTTCCCCCCAGCCTCTGTGCCTCACTTCGGCCCTGCAGAGCCTGTGGACAGGAGAGAGACATGCCAGCTTGATGGCCCAGCCGGGGCTGAGTAACGCCGGTGAGGACAGGGCCATGATGTGGACACTTGTCCCCAAGGGACCAGCCTGAGCCTCACATCCTTGCACACAGGCCCCTCGCCAGCTGGGCCACGGCCAGACACCCGGAGGGGATGCTCCCTGGGCCCACACCTGAAGCTAAACCAACGTGGCCCTTTAGACGTGAATGCACCACCCTGAGAGCTCCGAGCAGCTGGCAGAGGGAGCGCTGCGGTGCCAGTGGAGGCTGGCACGCCGAACCATGCCAGGCGGCTTGCTGGGGCGCACAGGCAGGGTTGGACACGGGCTTCTCCAAAGGAGGGGTTAGAGCCGTGATCAGCGTGGGAGGAGAACTGGCTGCTGCACACAGCGGCTCTTCCCTACCACAGCCACCTCCCTCCTCTCCGCCCTCGGCCCAGGCCAGCAAGCATCTGCAGCAGGGAATGCAACACTCAGCACAGGCCGGGGGCAAATCACCAGCAAGTAGCGGCGCCCTGGAAAGCCCCTGCTCCAGGCTGATCTCTTTCAGGGAGGGTGCACAAGTCCCCCTTTGTTAGTGTCTCGGGGACACCAGGCCCCTCCTTTCACCAGGGATTTGTACACGGTCACCCCGGTAACACCTGCCGCATGCCAGGGCATGCCAGGGCATGTGCCCTGCTTCATTGCACAGCTGTAGACAGAGCAGCTAGAGGCAGGGCGGCTGGCAGCCCTGCAGATCCCAGCGCTTGCTGTGGGACAGCGAGAGGCCCCCAGCGGCGCCTGCCACCCCATTGCACACAGCCCCAGCCCCAGGGAGTTGTCAGAGCTGGATTCAGAGCCTGCGGAGCTGCCTCCCGGCACCAATTCCCAGCAACAGGCAGCGTGCTGGGCTGGTCCCGGAGTCCCAGGGCAAAGCGCCCGCTCGGGCCTGTGCAACACCTTGTTCCCTGCCCGGGTCCACCCCCAGTGGCAGCTAGTTCAGATCTCGCAGCTACAGGGAGCCCCAGCACTGCAGCTGCGCCCCTCGAACGCCCAGTTCTCGCCAATGTTCTTTGGTGCCAAGGTCTGGGGGGCGCTGGGGGACCCTAGGCCTGCTCCTCTGCACTGGGACCTCGGAAGAGCGACTGCTTCCTCAGGCTGAGCCGGGCACACCTGGGGCACGTGGTCGAATTGTCATAGTAGCAATCCCTGGAAGCGAGGAGGAGGAAGGTTACCCCCATCAGCCCTGCCGTCAGGAGCGTGGGGCTGGGGCTCAGGCGAGCCCTGCAGCCTCGCTGGGCCCTTCTGCTGGCAAAGAGCTGCATGGCCCCCAGAATTCACAGCCAGTGCCCCCCCAGCTCTGGGAGCCACCCGTGGTGCCCTTGCAGAGAGCCTCCTCACCAGGGAGACGTGGGTGCCATGTCCAGGCTAGTGCCCAGCACCAGGGGTCTGGCTGCAGCAGCACCTGAGCCAGCAGGTAGGAGAGGGCAGCATGTCAGGGAGCAAGCCAGCTCCTCCAGCCAGCCCAGCCCCATCCTCCCCCAGCCCAGCACTGGAGAGGTCCCAGGTCCCACGCTCTGGGCCTGCTCCACCCCGCTGCACGCGAACAGACTGGCCAGCCACAGTCACCGCTGCGCTGAGTACACACGCAGCATCCCAGGCACTGTCCAGCAGCTTCACCTCCCCAGGGGCCAGGGCCAGGGCATGCCAGGGGCAGGGGCAGCCCAGGGCTGGTTCCTTGCAATGCCACCTGAGGGCACCGTGGGGTCTGCCTCTGCACCCGGCTCATTTCGCAGCCCTGCATATCTTGGGGCTCCCCCAGCACAGAGATCTCCCTGCTCTCCCTGACTGGGCCCCATGCTCCCAGCCGGGGCTGGCACAGGACGCCACAGGGCAGCCCCAGGCTCCTCCCCACCCACCTGTGGAAGACAGCAGAGCAGTCCGTGCACACCGATGTGTGGCTGTCAAACGGGAAGAGCACGTCCCCTTCTTTGCAGAGCTCACACACAAAGCCCTTCGCCTGGCACCGCTGGAGACAAGAGTGAAGATCACTGAGTCTGGTGCTGCGCATGGGCCCTTCCCCCCTCGGCTGCGATCCAAACCCTCCCCCCCACCCACATACACCATGGAGCTGCTGGCTCCAGCAGATTGCACACTGGGGTGTCAGAGTCCTGGGGTCCAAGTGCTTCCAGGCCCTGCTCCCCCAGTCCTGTCTGCCCCATTCCCACCTCCGTGACCTGGGAGGGGCTCAACAAATACAGCAGGACAGCGACAACGGTGCCTTCATGTCCCACCCTGAGCCTCTCCACAGCCAGCCCCGACTCAAAAAAGAGGAATTCCTCCCACTATACGCCTGCTCGCTACCAGCTTTGTCATCCTAGGGTTGCTACTGGGGGAGAGCGGGGCCTGTGCGCCCCCCCCCCCCCCCACCTCCCTTGTCTGCTATGGGAGGGGTTTAAACACTGAAGCATTTGTCTAGCAATGAAGATGCAGAAATTAGAGTCTTTGCAAACATCCAGGGACGACAGGCTGGAGCGGGAGTTTCTGGCCCCTCAGACAGCATCTGCCCCTCAGTGCTGATCCCCAGGGGACAGGTCAGCCCCCAGCCCCACCTCGCAGTCCAGCTTGATGTGCTTGGCGAAGAGGGTGTGGATCTCCGCTAAGGAGCAGCTGAGGCGCCCAGCCTGGATGTCGACCAGGTCCTGCAGCGAGTACATCTCGTCGTTCTCCACAAAGTGTTGCCGGTCCTGCAGCTGCAGGGGAAGAACTGTCAGATGACGACACTCCCAGGCCGCCTGCCTGCCCCCACCCAGCCTTCCCTGCCCCCACTCGCCAAGGGGCCTTCCCCAGCCGGGGCTCAGACTGGGAGCAGAGTCTAGCTAAGCCCTGGCCAAGAGCTCTCTGGTTTACTCTGTGGCTGGTCCAACATCACGTACTCGGGTTCAATGTGCCCTTCCTCTCTAGCCCAGGGCTCGTCCCCATCAACCCAATGAGTCTTCCAGGGCTTGGGGCAGGCAGGTGCAGGAGCTGAAGTTCCACAGAGGACACAGGGCGATTGGGATACAGGCCACCCAGACCATCGCCTGGGCTAGCGACGGCCATTGGACCCAGTCCCCTCCTCCTCAGCTGGGCTCGCCACAGCCACCAGCGTGGCCTGAACACCTCCCTCATCCTCCCCCGGCACGTGGCTCCTGTCCCGTAGAGAGTCCACTTAACCCGCTGCTGTGCACAGCCTCGGGGGCGTCACAGATCCCCACATGGGAGCACGACAGCAAGGCGTGTCTCAGCAGCTGCCCATCTCCGCAGTAGCCAGAAGTTTGGGGCTGGGAGAATCCTGTCCATGGATTCTGGGCTTGGCCCGTGTAACGCTGATCCCACAGCGCCTCTACCCTCAGGAGAGCACAAGGCGGAGCTGATCCCAGACAGGGACAGGCCAGCGGATCTCTCACCCCCAGCAAGTGGGCAGTGCCATGCCCCCCAGCTGCCCATCCAGTGTCACTTTCTCGGCTGGAGCTGCCCAGGCATGGCCCGTCACCGGACACCAGCTGGGCACAGGTGGAAGGTTTGTACCCTGCCGGGGAGTGGCACAAACAGCTTCATGCTCCCAGCAATTCAGCTCCCTCCCCATCCCAGCAAACTCGCTCACACACACGGTCCCCGCACAGCAGCTCCTCCCCACGCAGACACCCCCACACCTGGAGCAGCAGACGAGCCTCCATGGCCTCTTTGCAGGTGATGAAGTAGGGCTTCATGAGCAGGATATCCTGGCGCAGTTTCTGCAGGGAGAGGGGGCAGGCGGGTTTCAGGAAATAGGGCCTGCCCAGCTAGCCCAGCACCCTGCCTGACAGCGACCGGACACCTCCCAGGAAAGCGTAAGGGCCCTGCAGTAGCAGGTGTGGGATAATCTGCCTCCTGGCCCCAGTGTCTAGGGGTGAGAAATCGGGTGAGCCTGTACAATTCTGTACAAACACATAGCGAAGGGGGCACGCCTGGGAGCTGCTCCCGGCCCAGCCCAGAGCTGGAAGCCCCATCAAACTCCCCCACACTGGGGGAAGAACACGCTCACAAGTCAGGTCTCGTGATGGGACCCCAGCCCTTAGAACCAGGGGCATGAGCCCCAAGCAGAGCCCAGCCAAGTGGACACAGGCACTTACCCGGATCTCCACCAGCTCCTCCACATAGTTAAAGAGAAGGGGGTTGATTTCCCGCAGCTTGAGCACCGGCCGCGACACCATCAGGGCAAGGTAACGCATGCTGCAGCGGGAAACCTGGGCCCGGAGAATGCAGAGCCCTGTTATGAACCAGGGGCAGGAGGCAGCATCGCCCTGTGCCAGGGTCCCCCAGCTTACTAATCGTCCATCGCCCCACTGAGACAGGTGTAAATAGTAGCACATGGTTTGGGGAGATGGCCCTGCAGGCCCATGTGATTAGCACAGAGGCAGTTAGGGGAGCTGCGGGGCACAGCCCCTCCATGCTGACCAGCTGTTCTGGTAAGTAAAGGACGTGTCTGAGGGCCTGGGAGGGGAAGGGCCCTGCTATGCAGACACATCGGAGAAAGCCAGCCCGACTCCTGTGCTGTACACTGACTCCATCTCTCGCAGGTCACCAGGGAAGCATCTCCCGGGGCTGTTCCTGTCTTTAAATGAGCCCCTGGGCTCACATCACATGCCACCAGGTGCAGACAGGAACTAGCTTCGGTCTCCAGCAGCCGGGGCTGGAGCGGATGCCGCTGCCCAAAGGTGAAAGGCTCCGTGTCCCAACCCCCAGCCTATGCCCTGGCTCGGCTCAGGGTAGCTGAGCCTCAGTGTCCCCTAGCGTCACCTCCCATCCCACGCCCCCCACCCACGGGGCCGCCCCGCTCACCTTGCGGGGTTCGAAGTCCCAGTTGTGGATGACACGGGCGGGGATGATGGCCAGATCATTCCAGTGGCAGTTACCGCAGTAGTACAGGCCAGTGTAGTCACACTGCCTGGCCTCGCTGGGCACGCCCCCTGCATGGGACATGGGCCGTCAGCCCCAGGGCCCCAGCCCTGCCAGGTCCCCCGCCCCAACCCTTCCCAGACCCAGCAGGGTCTCCGCTCTCACCCGCCAGGGCAGGGCCTGCGGGTGGCTTCCCTGCTGCTCCGCTGAGCCCTGAGGCTGCAGACCCTCCCAACACCTCAAGCATGCGCCGAGCCCTGCGCTCGGGGAGGCTGAGTGAGTGTCACCGGCCCTGTTCTGCATTTGGGAAACTGAGGCTCGGAGAGGGGAATTGACTCACCCATGAGCATATGGTGAGTCAGGGCAGAGCCGGGACCAGACACCACGTGTCCCGATGCCAAGGCCTCTGCCCCCATTGATGCCTCCTCCCCGTATCTCTGCTGTCATCTCCTCCCACTGCCCCCTTCACTCCATATACCCAGAGCAACCTCCTGACCGGTTCCAGCCATGCCCCTGCAGAACCCCCACCCCAGAGCGCCAGGGATGCCGAGAGTGGGCTGAGCACAGGCCTGGGAGCCAGGAACTCCTGAGATCTCATCCCAACCGAGCACCGCTCCCTCTGTGGCTCCAGCTGTGTGCTCCAGCCTGCCCACACACCAGCCAGGGCGACCACACTGACGTGCTGGCTGTGTGTGCCCAGGCCACAGGGATCGCCCCACTCCCGCTAACAGAGCTCTCCTTCAGGATGAGCAGGAGGGTCCCTGGGACGTGGGTTCTGGTGCATGCAGGCTGGTAACTGTGAGGGTTAACAGCTATTCCCGGGCACTTCTCAGCCCCAGCGTCCCCTCCCGTGCGGGTGGCACTTACGGAGGGAGATGGGCGCCCGGCACTCCGCACAGCGGTAATCCTGGCTGTCCAGGCCTGTCTCGGGGCAGATGCTCAGCTCGTACTCAGCCTGGTGGCTGACCTTGGACCTCACGCAGGGCTTGGTGATAAGGTTCAGGCACTTGCTGTGACAGCGATAGTAACAGCCTGGGGAGGACACGGCACAGAGACCCAGGAGTCACCCGCCTGGCCCAGCCTCCCCGCTGCTTCAGCCTGACCCGGCTGGGGAGCACCCAGGCCCCTTGCCAACACTCGCACAACACTCGGAACTGGCCCAGCCCTGCAGGAGACAGGCGGGGAATGGCTCAGAGCAGAGGGGGTGGCAGCAGAGAAGCAACTGGGGCATTTAGGCCATCAGGGGTCTGCACTCCTGTCTGCGGCAGAGCCCAGGTGACCGGAGAGCCACCCACCCAGCACACCCCATTCCAGGGGTTCTGCTGCCTCCCGCCTGCCCTTCAGCCCAGCGTGAGAGGCAAGCTTTGGCTGAGCTCCAGAGGATCAGCCCTGCCGGGAAGGAGAATGAGCCTTCATCCTGCCCCAGGGCTGGGGAGCAGGGAAGCGCTGCCCTGGCAGGGCTGGCTGCTCACCTGTGCAGGTGTACCAGGTCTGAATCAGGCCCCAGATGATGGCGTTGCACTTGTCACACGTCTGCTTGACACTCTTACTCTTCTCCTTGTAGAAGCGATGTTCCAGGAGCACCCGGATGTTGGGCTCGTCTTCGCTGGGGTCCTGCAGCACAGACAGACAGACGGCCAGAGCAGGGCTGAGCCTGGGAGACATTCGCCTCCTTTGCACTGAGAGCCAGGCCATCGCGTCCTGCAGGCCCCACTGCCAACATAGGGCCTTGCTCTCAGAATCCTGCTCAGCCCTACCTGGGCCCTGGTTGGCAAGTCAGCAGGGAGGCCAAGGTGCCTGGGACAGAGCAGGGGATCCTGCCCTTTGCTACCTGGGTGGGCTGCTCTGAGCCCACACAGCCGAGGCCTCAGCCAGCAAAGCCACTAGCCGGCCGCAGCCCCCACCCCGTCCCCAGCCCCCGGGCCACACCTTCAGCTCCTGGAGTTTCAGGCGCAGGTGGATGAGCCTGACCACAGCGTCTTTCTGCCTCTCCGAGTGCTCAGGGAGCTCCAGGATCACCTGCTTGCACTCCTCGATCGCCTGCCGCAGCTGCTGGATGTCTGAGGCCAGGAACAAGCCCTGCAGGCAAGAGACGGGCAATGCCGGTGAGCAGCGCTGCCCCTGCTGGGCCCAGGCAAGGTGCCCTTCCCCACCCCGGGCACAGAGACTTCCCAGGCTGCCCCTGCTGGGCCAATCAACGCCTCATCACACACCTGCCAGCCCCAACCTTCACCCAGCCGCCCCTGGGAGACTCCTGCGCCCCCCCACACCCCGCCGCAGTCACTCACCACAGGGCGGGAGAAGTGGTCCTCCGCCAGCCCCAGGTCCATCACGCGCTCTGAGCACTGGAACCTGGGGTCCCCGTGGGACAGCCCCAGCAGCGAGTCTGCAACAAGCAGAGACATATGGAGAGGGAAGGGAGACATCTGCCTGGGGAGAGCAGGGAGACAGCCCTGACCACCACCACGAGATGGTCCCAGCCCAGCTGCAAGGCAAGCACCAGGCTCGCCCCCTGAAGAACATGGGCACCGGTGCCCAGGAATCCCCACAGCACTGAATGGCAAGGGGAACCGGGCATGGGGGCGGCTCTGGGCATCAGGTTCAAGGAGCAGCAGCATTTAGCGGCCCCTCCCAGGAGCACACCCCAAATCCTGGGGACACAGGAGGTGTGTCACTCGAGGGCTGCCCCTGCACAGACCTTCCCAACTGAACCCTCGAGAGCGGGGCACGGGCGGGTTCAGAGATGCCCGCTCACCTCTCCCCCACACAGCCCCCACCCTGGGAGTCTCCACTCCCACACTCAGCCCCAGAATGCTGGGAAAGTGCTCTCCTGTCTCACTTTGCAGCCTCCCTACACCCCTGCCCCAAAGAGAACGACCGGCTGCGGCATGTGCGAGACCTGCCAATGCTCAGAACCTCACAGCTTCCATGCACAAGTCACCTGGCCATGCAGCCAGCAGGTGGACGAGCCGGGTTAGAACCAGGAGCCCTGGCTGCCTTTCTAGGAGTCTGTCTGGTGTGGAGAGTCCACCCGGCCCACAACCCCCTTATGCTGGGAGAATCTAGTGTCCTCTCCCCGCTCCTCCAGGCTGTGGGGAAAGCCTCCCAGATAATGGCACTTAGGTCTCTGGCAGCCCAGGGACTGGGCAGGAGATTGGCTTGCAGGGACCTGGTGGGGGAGGACTGGGGTCAGAGGGGGCCCCCACCTCTTTGGTTGCGGCTCTCAGAGCTCCCTGGGCCAGCGCCAGCCCCTGGTCACTGCATGCTCCCCAGCAGCGGGTAGACATGCACACCCCTCCCCGCCTCAGCCTGGCGGAGGGAACCCCACACTAACCTCGACAAGAAAGGTCGTCCCCAGCCTCCTGGTCATGCTGGCCTTGCCCCGGCTGCTTGTTGAAGGGGTTGAGGTGGGCCTGTCGGAACCGGACCAGCTTCTCATCACATTCCATAGCAGGCCAACCTGCCGGACCACGCAGAGGTGAAGGGAGCAGCGTGCACCAGAGTCCGCGCCGGGGCACGTCACCTGCCCCAGGTGCTCACCCGTCTCTGCCTGTGGCACCAGAGCAGGGGAACAGGCTAGATCTGGCAATACCTGATCCTTCCCTCCCACGGCCCAGCCCAGGCAGCTTCCACTTAAAACTGAAGTTGACGGATCATTTTTCCCAGCCACTTCCGAGCAGTATCACCCCACGTCGCTCACACGCTCCGCGCGGGGTTTCTGCTCCACCGCAGAGGAGGTAGAAAAACCGGTCTCTCCACCTGCCTATGTCGCCAGACCCGCTTCCGCCAAGTCAGCCAGACACCTGAGAGCCCGGCACGTGGCACCCCATCATTGCAGCACGCTCCCCAGCTCTGGCCACCTGGAGTTATTACCACCAATGGCACTCCACAAACGTGTTCTGACGGTGCTTCGAGGTCCCAGCAGAGCTCAGGGCCACGCTGTGCTAGACACCTACCGAGATACCCCTAGCAAGGGCCCCTGCCCTGAGGAGCAGACAGATGTGTTCACCCCCTCCTACAGATGGGGAACTGAGGCACAGAGACATGAAGTGACTGGGCCAGGGTCCAACAGGCCAAGAATTGAACCTGAGGCCCAGTCCAGTGCTCTACCCACAAGGCCAGCCTTCCTCTGGTGGCCAGGGCTACACTCCAAAGATTGATGTAGCTGGGTCGACCTCTCGGGGGAAAAAAATCCACCCCACTGCGCAACAAAGCTAAGCCAAGCTAGCCTCCGGCATGGAGAGTGCTGGGTTGACAGAAGAATTCTTTCATCGACTGAGCTCCTGCCTCTCGGGGAGGTGGATTGACCCTGCTGACAGGTGAACCCCTCCACTCCTGGAGCAAGCATTTCGCCTGTAGACAAGCCCTTAGTCACACAGAAAAACTCCATCTTCTCCTCAGGCAAGCAGTGGCTTCTGGTGTTCTGGGAGGGTCTTAACCTAGCAACACAATTACAATCGGACACAGCTGGGGAGTGTCGTTAACATCTCAGCGTCTTGCACAGACAGAATGTGCAATCTCTCTCCTCACCACTGCCACCACCTAGGTGTGTGAAAAATCCAGAGAGCTCCTCGTGCAAGGTGCTGCACAGACGCCACGGGAAAGGCACCCACCACCCCGGGGCATGCAGAGCGCACCAGTAATGCAAACACACACCAATGGGGCTCAGCCCCACATTCCATCACTACTCTTGGTGCCCCCCAGCCCAGCGCTGGCCTTTGCATACAATCAGTGTCTACCGGCTAACACATGTGAAGATTACCAGCTGGCTCATCCGCAGAATTGACCTCACGTCAGCTAACCCGAGCTACACGCAGGCTCTTTACGGCTAGCGAAGGCAAGGCCGCACGCAGGGACGGGCCAAGCTGACTCTGAGCAGCACGCCTCGTTCAGTACCAGCTCCTTCCCAGCCCCCTGCTTTACACACCGCTGTGCCTCAGTCTGGTAGGGGGTGATTGGTACAGATAGAATCACACGGGTAAAACCCCTCCTGTGGGCTCAGTTCTACTAGTGTAAAGTGCTTAGCGAGATAGCTCGTCCCATACGGGAAGGGGAATAAGCTGTAACAGTATAAACAGACTAGCGGCTGTCCCGATTAACTAAACTGACATCGTTATGAGCGGTACAATTTTGGGGTTTGCGTTTGTCCTCGTGTCCAGAAACAGAAGGATGCATGTTCCTGCCAGGGATTTTTTTCTTTCAAGAGGTTTATCCAGCGTCATTGTGGATGTTTCCGTACTGGTCTGTATTGAGCCGAGCTCACTGCTGGCACCACGATCCTAATAATGGTCTTTATCGAGTGAACAGTCTGACCATTCGACAGCAATTCTAGAGTGATCAGTTTTACTTCCTAGTTCTCATGAATTAGCCTGATATCCAAAAGGGAAGTTTAAATGCAGGAGAACTGCTTTCCATGAAGTTATGTTGAAACAGCTGCTAAATTTCCAGAAACCATTTCTTATCCCATTTAATAAAGAGACACTGTCAGGATCAGTCTGGCCTCCAATTTTAATGCTGTAAACAAACAGAGACAGCCACACACAAACTTTTCCCAAACCCACGACACACACAGAAACACGTCTCTTTTCAGAACTCCAGAGGGAGCAGTTATTTTTCTAAACCATTCCCCTGGCATCTGACACCCAAACAATTCAGCACCCCGAGGGGGACAGTTTCATTGTGCAATGCCAGAGATGAGCACAGAAGAAGCAGAACCTTGCTAAGGACAAGGACACATTATTTGTCCACTTCCACTTCCAAAAATCCAAACTTCATTAGCAGTGGGAGAAGGACCTTGGTTTACAACAGGTGTGTTTTTAAGCTGCCATCACACCCTAGTGAATAGGCAGCTCTGTTCCAATGAACGCACCAGCTAGATTTTGGCCCCAAATAAAGCATTTTAGGCCCTTCAATAGATGGCTCTCGAAAAACATCAACAGTGGAGCCTAAAGCTAATTGTCACTCAAGGCCTGGTTGGTAGCCAGAGTGGGATTTCAATGCTGGGCTGGGCTCTTTACTCACAGTGAACGTAGCTGGGTTTTGACAGTTTCCTGTGTGGGATTTTTAAAAGGATCGCTGTGACAAAACTGGCGCTGTGGTGCAATCCACACCCCCAAATAAAACCACGGGCCGAGTTGCTGCCCCTCCCCGCACCTGCCCCCCGAGCGCCCATAGCCAGGGCGTGATGATAAACACGCACAGTGTCTACATGGGGCTTCACAGCACAAGAACAATAACGCTCTGCAGCCTGCCATGAGAAAGGGCATTTTATAGGTGGGAGACCAGAGGGGAAAGGGACCCGCCAGGTGTCACCCGACCAGAGCTAGGGTTACGCTGCAGATTTCTGCAGTGGCCTAGAAACGGTGCAGAACCTGGTGCCCAAGTACCGTGGTGCTGGGCACCGCGGAATCCCCGGGACCCAGAACGCCCAACCTGGGGCCCCGCCGCCTTTCCTCTGGGAAGGGGGCACAGGGCAGCACCCCACATTCCCTGCTGCCTCTGGTCTGGCGGGCAGGCGCGTGAGACGGGTGTCTGGGGCCTTCTGCAGAACCCCCCCAAGTGATGGGCGGCAGGAGGAACCCTCGAGGTCAGGGGGGCTGAGCCCCAGGCCAGAGCCACGCGCGCCTCTCCCCCTCCCCACGGAGGAAAGTGACAAGTGGGTCCCCCGCGGGCCCCAAAACCCCCGCCCCCCACGGGACAGCAGCGACCGGCCCCGGCCGCCCCAGAAGCCCCCACGGTTGGGGGGGCTGCAGCGCTGGGGGGGCGAACTCCCCCCCCGGCCGGGCCAGACCCCCCCAAGCCGCTGCCGGCCCGGCCCGGCCCGGCCCTCACCTGCTCATGGCCCGCACGACCCGCCGGGTCCGCAGCGCAGCCCCGCTGCCCCTGCTACATTGTAGCGAGCTCGGGCCGGGGGGCGCAGGCGCAGGCGGCGGCGGAGGGGCCGCCACTGCCCCCGCTGGCCGGGCGGACCGCGCGCCCCAGCCCCGAGCCGAGCCGAGCCGAGCCCGCGGGAGCCGGGGCCCGCCAGCGGCTCGGGGCGCTGGCGCGGGGACCCCACGGCCGGGACCCTCCCCCAGCGGCCCTGGCCGAGGCCCCGCAGCCGCCGAGCGCCCCCCAGGGCTGGGCTCAGTGGGGCTGGAAGCGGGGGCTGAGAGCTGGAACCCTGCCTCGGGTGGAAACCGCTCCGAGCCGGGGGGCAGCCCCACGGTCCAGCCTGACCCCACAGGCGCAGCCCCACAGCTGCGGGAGGGCCAGGCCCCATCGCCCCTTGCAAGGGAAACGAGGCGCCCCGGGGCACCAGGCGAGCCGCCCCCGAGTCCAGCCCCTCCGGCCTGTCCTGCGCCCTGGCAGCCGGCCCGCCCCGAGAGCCCCTCCGTGGCCCAGCAGCCTCGGCCCTGAGTCCCCTGGCGGAGCCGGTAGCAGCCGCTCTCTGAGCTCTCACCCTCCAGCCTGGCGAGGGGTCGGGCCCAGGGCGGGTGGGGCACGGGCTTTGCGGCTGCAGTCAGAAGACGCCATCAAACCGCAGAGGGTCCATTCCTAGCCTAGCCCAGGGGCTGCTCTGGAGACCTGCAGCCTGGGCAGCAGGAGCTAGGGCTGGATAGCAGAGCAGCTGGACGTGCCAGGCGCTGAGCACTGGACAATCTACCCCACAGCTCCTTCCTCCGCCCCCTTTTCTCTTCCTCCGCGCTGTGTCTGCCCCGCAACTCTCCTCCAGTCTGTACCAGCGCTCGGGTATCCCGAGTGCCGCTTTCTAGCGCTCTCCCCAGTTCCCCTTTGGGGGATTCTTTCCTTTCTGACTTGTGTTCTCCCTCCCTCCTTTCCCCATCAATAGCTCCCTCCACTGCTCCTCCGTCCCTCTAGCCCTTTCAGGACCAGGCCTGCTCCTCAGCCACACCAGCGGGACAGTGTGTTCAGAGGGGGAGAGTGGCTGTGACCTTCCAAATCCAGGTCAACAGGCCAGGCCAGGCTAGGCTAGGCTAGGCTAGGCTGGGCTGGGCTGGGCTGGACTGGGCTCTTCCCAGTTCATCCTGCTCACTGCTCATTTGTTTGGGGATATTTAAGGCTCCATAAATTCATGGATCTAACTGGGCTGCACTCAGACAAACCACCTGCAGCTGCAGTTAGCTGGCTCATGTATTGCAGTGCTGCCCTCTACTGATTATTATCAAAACTGCTCAACTGTGGGTCATAGGCCAGATGTGTTAACAGCACATGAAGATTCCCCTTTAGTGCAAATAGCGTAGGGTTGTGCTTTGGAGGAATAAAGCTCTGAACTCCAGCCCCACTGCTGCCATGATGTCCAGAGATCCCATAGAGAGCAGCCTTGCAACAAAGGAGAAGCCTGTGGATTTGTAGTAGTAACCCAGGCAATCCCATTCCTCGGCTCCCTTCCAGGCATGGACATGTCTCCTTTGGTCCTGTTGGCCCTGGCCCATGCACACAGACACAACAGGCTTGGCTCCTCCTTCACCCCATGCCAGTTCCTGGCCAGGCTTCAACTGGCAAAGTGGGCTCCTGGAGGCTTGAAGGCATAGAGATTTCTGAAGAAGAAGAGGCCACTCGGCCAGACAAGCTTTAGGCTTCTCTTCATCCAGTCTCCCCACTCAGCCCCCATCTCTCCAGGGGAGCCAGATGACAGGAATCAGAGGCTAATGGTTAAGACCCAGAACTAGGAGATTTGGGTTCTCTCCAACACTCTGCCACTGACTCACTGGGCAGCCTTGGGAAAATCCCAGCTCCAGCGGTAAAGCAGGGCGGCAATACTGCATGAGGGAGCATTGTGGGCTTGACTTCGGGTCTGTAAAATGCTTTGAGGTCAACACTGAAGCAGCACTAGAGAAACGCAAAGCTAATGAATTATTCTTCTGAAGTGCCTGACAGCCTCAGGGCCACGCCCGGCTCACCTTCCTGGCCCACTTCTTTGACCATCTCTCTCTGCCTCTCTCGCTCATACACACACCTTCCAGCTCCCCCAACTGGCTCGCTCTTCCTCTTTGCATTAATAACCCAGATTTCTTGGCCTTTCCCTTAAGGCACTTCCCTTCTCACCTGCTCTGGTACCCTCCCCTGGCATCCCTCTCCCACATCCGTGGTGCCAGTCTCTATCACTCATCTGGCTGCTTCTGCCAGCCCCTGGCACTTTCTGCCCAGCTGCCCCTTGTCCACCGAATGCTCTCCCCAAAGTAACCCCCAAAGTTTCTCCCTTCTCCTCTGTCAGACCCTCCTTAAGATCTGCTGCCGTTGTACTGTCTGCAGGAAACAGCAGTTTGCCAGGGTCAGCCCGGAGGCCTCTGGGGAGCATTCAGCCCTCATGGTTATGTGTGTCATTAGAACCCATTTTGACTCTCAGCTTAAAAACCAGGCACCCAGCGAGGCTGTCCCCAAAGAGCCTCTCCCCACTGCCCTTCCCTCTCCTGTTTGTTGCAACCCCGTGTCTGTGTTACAACAGGAGTAACCTTGTCTCGGGGGAAGGGACAGGCTCTCACCATGTGTCTGTGCAGCACTGATCCCAGCGGAGGGCTTGCGACCTCCCACAAACAGTGCCCGATCCCAATGGTAAAGGGGCCCGTATTGTAGGGCTATTCCACCTGAGCTCCTGTGGCCCTTTTAAGACCAGGATGCTCTTGCTGTTCTCGGTGGGGGCCCACCGTCGGCAGTGTTTTCTGGGGTCCGCGATGAAGGGCATTGAGCGTAGCAGCAGTTTCTCTTCCAGGAGAGTCAGGCTCTCGGCAGCGTTTAGGGTCCGACTTTCACATGAGGCAGGATTTTTGCAGCATCTTCCATGGCTGAGGAAGGGTGGAATGGGTAACGTGGCCCACATGTGCACTGGCCCCCACACCGCCTCTGTGCTGACCAGAGTCACACATGCACTGATATAGAGGCAGATTAAGGTTTTGTGGGGCCCTGGACCAGAGCAAGTGGGGGCCCCCCTCCCCAGCCCTTCCGCCTGCGGTCCTGCCCCATTCCACCCCCCACTGCAGCCCCAGAGCTCCTCCAGTCCTGGTGCTGCAGCAGGGTCCAGGTGCTGGGGCTTCCCCCGCCGCCCTGCACTGCTGTGGGGGACCAGGGTCAGGGCACTGGGACGTCTCTTGCCCCACTTGCTTGGTGCTGCTGCGGGGGGGAAGGGGCAGAGTGGGGTCGGGGCATGGGGGCTTCCCCCGCCCTACTGTTTGTCTGTGGGGGGCAGGGCACCCATTTTTTCAGGGCCCCTCAATTGGCTGGACCCTCTAGGCCAATGCACATTGCAGTGGTACACACCTCACTTTGAGAGATGTTGGGCCCTTGTTCTGCCCTCTCGGAGCCTAGGGAGAGGGGGGGTCCTGCTGCTGCCTGTGGGTCCGGCTCAGCTGGCCTGGCCCCACTCCAGCAGCTCCCAAGCCCATTCTTCCCCCTTTACAGTTAGACTGGGGACAGCCCAAGGATCCTGCAGCAGGGGGAACAGACCCCAGCATCTATGGGGGCTCTAACCAGGCTTCACAGGGAAAGAAAGAAGCAGACAGTCCCCTTCCTCTGCTGCTAGCGGCCCTCCCAGTGTATCCTCCGGCTGGCAGAGCTACGTGTGCCCAGCAAGGTGGACAAGGAGCCAGGGCAGGTCCTTGTAGAGGCAAGCACTCCTTCAAGGTCTGGCCCTCCTGGGAGCACAAAGCACTGATGCCCTGAGGTCCCTAGGGTTGGGGTTTGCTGCAGACTGGGGGCAGAGAAGGGATGACCTAGATTTTCTTCTTGTTTAAACTTTCAGGTGTAAGCACCAGCTCGCAAAGGAGTGAGCAGGCCCCAGGTGCAGGGCAGGCTGGGACACATCCCGCAGTGCAAGAGAGACTAAAACTCACTCGCGGTGTTGTGCTCCCCCCCCCCCGGGATCAGCCCGCACCGCACCCTCTGCAGAGTGGCCATTCGCTGGTGCCTGTGTGGCTGGACAGTGGCCTTGGTGGGTTCAGCGCTCGCCCACCCATTGCCTATGCTGGTGGAATCGGCTCCTGACCAAGGGAGGCTCACCCTGGCCAGCATGGTGCGTTCCATCTCCAGCTGGGCCCTACCAGGTCCTGGCCCCAAACCAGGGCCGGGCCGCGTTACATGGGGCTCAGCACCAAGTGTGTCCCCCACGCCGTGCACCGAGTGACACTTGGGGCTACACTGGGGGAGGCAGCACCTGTTCGCTGTTCCACAAAGATGATGGCTAAAGGAACCTGTTTCTCTGCTCTCCTTGGCGGTTACTAATCCCTTAACTCACAGGCAAAGCAGGTCTGGCACTTCCCAAGAGGATGGTCCCTCTGCCAGCACCGCACGCCCTCCCCCGACGCTGCATCCAGCCTGAGCAGAGACAGGTTCCTCCGACACGGGAAAGGGCTCCCCTGCTCTCTGGCTGCCCCACAGCAGGTAAGAGGATTGTGTTCCCCGGGAGCTCCCCCCAGGGAGCAGCTGTGCTGGCCTGGCCAGGCCACAGGAGGGGATGCCTCCCCAACTGCGGGCAGACAGGGCAGGGTCAGGGAACAAAGCCAGCTCCTGGCCAACACTCGAAAGGAAACAGGCAGCATGGTGTGTTTAATCCCACGCTCATGAGCTGAGTGGGGAGGCCCCTTCCCAGCCACTTCTGCAGCTGTCCCAGTGCCCAAGTCAGGGATCTGCCCATGAACAGGGCTAACTAGATTCCTGCATACAGACAGCTCATGCAGTGCCCAGCCCCTGCTTTACAGCTACACCCTCCTCCTGCATGGAGAATCCGCCCCAGCACCTCCCGCGCAGTAAGGGCGTTCGCACAATTCAGGGAGAGCTGCTCAGGCCTGCTCAAGGCAGAGCAAAGAGATGCTCTGCAAACCAATAAGTTAATGTGTTTAAAAACCCTGGTGCAGCAGCATCTCCCCCCCCACAATTCCCTGCTCAGGAGCTGGGATCAATCCCAACCAGCTGGCAGGTTTTTAAAGGGGCTGCCCCCAGCCTGCACTAGGAGGGGCAGGAAGTAGCATTTAAACACCTGTGTTAAAGGTGGTAATGAGCTTGACCCATCTCTATCCAAGGCTGAGATGGGACCAGAGGGAAGGAGCAGGATACTTATGAGCTAGATGATGGCACAAGGAATGGGCTAGCAGCTGGAAGAGAGCATGATGGGACTGACCCGAGAGCTGTCCTGTCCCAAGCCCACCGGGGAGTGATAGCTGCATTCTGTGGCACTGGAGAGCAGAGGGTTAATACCGCAGTACATTGGAAAGAGGGGATAGGACACTGCAATCCAGCTGATAAAATGCACGAGGCCCAGCACACTGATCCTTAGCTGGAGACTCACCCAAGCCAGAGGCAGCAGTGCCCATCTCTCCCCAAGGTGCATGCTGCAATGGGAACTTGCTCCCTAAGCAAGGAAATAAGAGCCATTAGCGGCTTCCCTCCCAGGGAGGGCCCAGAACATCCAAGGCAAGGTCTGCAGGGCAGGGCTAGCTCCCACCTAGGTCAGTGGGGGAGGGGAGGGCTACAGACAGGAGGCTGAAGTGACCCCTGCCTCTTGCCCCAGACACCAACTGCTCTTCAGCTTTCCCCAGATCAGCCTTATCCCTCCTACCACCAGCAACTCACCCCCTTTACGGAGCACCGCTAAGCCAAGATTCTGTTGTGCTCTCCACCCCCATAGTTCCTCACCCAGGTGGCTGCCTGCTGGAGGTTTGTCCCTGCTAGTGTTTGGACCAGAGACTTGATTGTGGTTCTGTGACGAAGTGGGACTGTTCTTAATGTTTCCTCTGAATAGTGTGGGGGTGCCTCAGTTTCCCCTATGCAGTTCTTAAGTATCTAGGTGGTGGGGTAAGGGTGTATAATCACTGCAGAGCCCTAGAGGGCAGGTGTGTGCAGGAGTCTGGACACAGAGAATGGCCGACACCCTGTTTCCTGGCCACTGATGGCCTGGGCCCTTCCCCCCTGCAAGGTGAGAGCTGAAGGGTTGGAGAACAAAGGAATCAGGTGACCTCCTGGCCTGGAAAGGGACAAAGCCCAGAGGAGGAGGGGCTGGAGAGAGTTTCAGTTTGGGGCTGGCTGGGGACATGGAGTGAAGTGCAGATGTGGTTGTCTGGCTCACTGCCCCCCAAAATGGAGCCAGCTGAGGGGTCTTGTTCTCTGCACCTACAAGCTCTGTGTTAGACCACGTGCCTGTCATCTAATAAATCTTCTATTTTATTGGCTGGCTGAGAGTCATGTCTGACTGCGGAGTTGGGGTGCAGAACCCTCTGGCTTCCCCAGGACCCCACCTTGGCGGACTTGCTGTGGGAAGCACACAGAGGGGCAGAGGATGCTGAATGATCCGAGGTCAGACCCAGGAAGGTGGAAGCTGTGTGAGCTTTTTGCCCTGTAGACAGTCTGCTCCCAGAGAGGAGACTTCCCCAGAGTCCTGCCTGGCTTCGTAGGGAGCAGTTCCAGAGCATCGCCCGGGGACTCCGTGACAGGTTCTACCTTTGGAGGCCACTAAAATCTAAAGAGCTTTCAGTTGAGGGGCAGAGTATGGAGAAGGAAGCTTGAAGCAAGGAAGGCACCTGCAGCCCTGGCCCTCCAGCGGGGTGCTCACAGACTTGTAAAGTCATCAATTGTCTACAGGGAAAGCTGGAGCAATGGTGGTAACTGTGCCAACCAACATCTTGCAATGAAGCTCAGAGCCCAGTTGGCTTCCATGAGGCCTCAGCCACCCCTCCCAACCCAAACCATTCTAGAGTTACCCCCGGAACAGGCAGTTCTATCCTACCCTCAGGGCAGTACCAGCTCATGTGCATTGGGCTGAATTCTAGAGCTTTGACAGGGCTGTTCCACCCTTCCTCAGCCATGGAAGATGCTGCAAAAATCCAGCCATTGCCCCAGATGGTGCTCCAGAACCCAAGTGCCTTTGGGCTGCAAATGGAGGGGCAGGTTGGGCAGCATTGAGTCTGCAGAGCCTGAAACAGTAGCTGAGATGGGCACTACCTCGCTGTTTGTTGTTCCAGCAGTGATCAGAAGTGGATTTCCCCAGCCCAAAGGTGGGATGAGCACAACTCCAGACAGCCTGCCAGCATGCCATAGGTCCCACGTCACCGGGCTGCCTCCAGCACCTGTCTCCCCCTCTGCAAAGCAGTTATCAACCCAAACAGCCAGAGCGTCCTAAGAGTGTAGGGGCAAAGTGAAGCACACGTGGGGGACAGTCAGTCCACGCTGCATCTGGAAGAGCCTCTGTCGTCTGCTTTACCCCCCTCTGCTGGAGACTTCCCCGTAATAGAGTTGGGCCCAGCCTGCTGCAGAGCCCGCAGGGCCTGGCTAGCATGGGGCAGGGAACTGAAATCCTGCCAGAAAAGCCTCCTCTGGAGGATTCTGCAAGCCTTTGTCCCACATCTGTCATTTGGCCCCTCTGCCAACTCAGACCCAGGACAGGGCTCTGGGGTGTCAGGACTGAAGGATAAATGCTTCTTACAAGCAGACAGTTGCCCCCTGCTAACTCCAGCAATGCAGTTGCAGGGGTGTTTGTGGAGTGGGTGCAGGCCCACTGATGGGGGGCAGGGGGAGGGAGGAGGAAACTGCCCAGGCAGGCTGCAGGTCTCCTAGGCGCATGAGACCGCTCTGAGCCCTGCACTTTTGGGGGCCCCCATAGGCAGACCTGGAAGTGATGGATTCATCACTTCTGCCCCAGGCTCTGCCCCGCCAGGGACGGCCCTGACCCTGTCGCCCAGAATTCCTGTCGATGGGCCTGAGTGGGAGCATTGCCTTCACCCAGTTCTGCTCCATGGAGGAACAGACTAAACTGGTGGGGAGTCCTTGGCTGGCACAATACACAGCTGTCCTGTGCGTGACCTTTGTGGACAGTTCTAGGAAGTGATGTTTGCGGGTGGCTCAGAAGGGTCTGCCTGCTCTGGATTCAGGCTGGCATTTCAAAGCAGCTTAAGACACCCACACAACTCCCACAGACCCTCATTAGGCTCCTCCCAAACCCCTTGCTTTAGCCCCCAGGGAATCGAATAGATGTGCTGCCTGGGACATGGAGATGGACAGCACCCCCACGCTGCTCACAACTGACAAGCGGCACCCCCCTGCTCCCTACCACACCCACCTGTCTGATGCCCCATTGCCAAGTCCTGGGGCTGGAACAAGGACGGTCTTGCACAGGACGTACTGGACAGCAATACATTTATTAAGTATTCCAAAAAAATAAAAAAATCGACAAACCAGTAAAAAAATCCTCAAACATCAGGGTCATCGACATGATCAGAGTGATGAGGACGGGGTACAGCTGCGCTAACTCAAGGATGGGGAGGGGAGATGGTTAGTAAATACTGAATGATTTAAAATTTGGAACCCTTAATCAGAAGCAACTAAATAGCTGTTTTCTAGTACTCAGCTAACAGGTAGCGAAGATGGAGGACTATGCTGGACAGCAGGGTGCTGGAGAAGCTTGACCTTCATGGTAAGAAACTTGATGCAGGCCAACTCCAGAGGCTTCACTTGGCACCCTGGGCCTCAGATTCCTCCTCATCGTCTTCATACATTTCCCCTTCCTCTTCAGCTGTGGCATCCTGGTACTGCTGGTACTCCGAAACCAGGTCATTCATGTTGCTCTCTGCCTCTGTGAACTCCATCTCGTCCATGCCCTCGCCCGTGTACCAGTGCAAGAAGGCTTTGCGCCGGAACATGGCGGTGAACTGCTCTGAGATGCGCTTGAAGAGCTCCTGGATGGCTGTGCTGTTTCCAATGAAAGTGGAAGACATCTTCAGGCCCCGGGGTGGGATGTCGCAGACTGCCACCTTGACGTTGTTGGGGATCCACTCGACGAAGTAGCTGCTGTTCTTGCTCTGGATGGCAAGCATCTGCTCATCCACCTCCTTCATGGACATGCGGCCTCTGAAGACTGTGGCCACAGTCAGGTAGCGGCCATGACGTGGGTCACAGGCAGCCATCATGTTCTTGGCATCAAACATCTGTTGGGTGAGCTCGGGGACGGTTAGGGCTCGGTATTGCTGGCTGCCACGGGCTGTGAGGGGAGCAAAGCCTGGCATGAAGAAGTGGAGGCGAGGAAATGGCACCATGTTGACTGCCAGCTTTCTCAGGTCAGCATTGAGCTGGCCAGGGAATCTCAGGGAGGTGGTGACACCGCTCATGGTAGCGGAGACCAGGTGGTTGAGGTCACCATAGGTGGGTGTGGCCAGTTTAAGGGTTCTGAAGCAGATGTCATAAAGGGCCTCGTTGTCGATGCAGTAGGTCTCGTCCGTGTTCTCCACCAGCTGGTGGATGGATAAGGTGGCGTTGTAGGGCTCCACCACCGTGTCGGACACCTTGGGGGAAGGCACCACACTGAAAGTGTTCATGATCCGGTCGGGGTACTCTTCACGGACCTTGCTGATGAGGAGGGTACCCATGCCCGAACCAGTTCCACCGCCCAGGGAGTGGGTGAGCTGAAAGCCCTGCAGACAGTCACAATTCTCGCACTCCTTCCTCACCACGTCCAGGACAGAGTCCACCAGCTCAGCACCCTCTGTGTAGTGCCCCTTTGCCCAGTTGTTGCCAGCACCGCTCTGACCTGTGGGGGAGAAGAGACAGTGGATCGCCTCGCTTTCATCAGTAGGGAGTCTGGTGTGAACAGTGACCAGAGCCTTTTGCTGCAGGAATTCGGTCTCTCCTGGGTGTGCCCAGCCACTGGGTTCAACAGACACAATATGCCAGGGAGGGCTGCTGTGCCACAGAGCTGGGCTATGAGAGAGGCTAGATGTTGCATGAGAACAAAGCCCGGGAGCTGCCTGGATCAACTTTCTCAGGCTGGCACCACCCACCACTGAGAGCAGCCATGTGCCAGTCTGGAGGCACTGGAAGGCAGAGGTGATCATGCTATGGGCGTCACCGTGGGGGGCTGACCTTTGGGCTTTCCCCAGAGCTGAACTAGCCAGCTTTCAGGGACAGACAGCCCCAGGGACCGGCTTATAGGCTAGTTGTGTAGCAGGGCAGGCACTGGGGAGCCACCAGCCGAGTGCGCGAGATCTCAGAACAGAAAAAGAAAAATTCAGCCTTGCCTAAGGGTAGAGGCCCTGAAGGGAGGGGGACAGGAAGGGGAGTGGCAGGGGTGGTTGTGGTGAATTCGGAGATGTTCTTGGAGGTCCTGGACACACTCTGCTCGTGTTTCCTGGGCAATGGGAGAGATGGGGCTAAGCTCATGGGCAGGCAGCGAGGGCCTGGCAGGACCATGGATTGCAGCCGAGCTCTTCCTTGCAGCACCTGATCGCATGCCCTACGACTGCTTATGTGGCTATAACCTACCTCGCTCGAGCCCCCCAAGCAACGCAAGTTAGAGACCTCAGCGCTGTCCACCCGGGCGCTATGTGGGCAAGATGCTCTCCCACCCACCCAGCTTCTGCCCCGTGCACAGGTGGCGTAATTTCGGGAAGCAGGAGCGGGCTCCCCCGTCGCCCCGGCACCAGCCACGCTGCTGCAGCTCCGACGTTGCGCGTCTCATGTAGACTGGCCCAGGACAGCAAAGAACAAGGGGCATTTTCCTACGTTCCCCTGCCTTCAGCGTCCCTGTTCAGTGACCTTCCCACAGGTTTGGCTAGACTTTCTGCCCTGGGCTGATCAGCTGTTTGCTCTAGCCCTGCCCCTCCATCTCAGCTACCCCCCACCCTCTTCACCCCGTCCCACTCACCCACTTCCCTCCCAGGTCCTCTCTTCCTTCACTTTCCTCCCACTGAGCTTATTCTCTCCCCCCAAGCTAAATTCGCCTCCCTCCAAGAGATGCGGTTCTAACAGGCAACTGGCCCCATCACTGGTCACTCTCTGCTAGTCTCCTTCCTCCGCCCCGATCTGGCTACTCTGCTCAGACTAAGCCCTTCTGGGCTGGGACCATCTGCATGCTGTGCAGCACCTCCTGCTAAGCGGCCCGTAGGCACTGCTGGAACAGGGAGGTAGACACGGCCCAGCGAGAAGTGACAGCGTGTCGTGGGGAGCAGGGAGAGGGAGCTCTGAGTGGGCAGCTAGGATGGACCAACTAGGGGCCAAGAGAAGTGCCACAGGGCAGGACAGGGTTAGAGCAGCAGCACGGGGCTGGGACGTACCAAAGATGAAATTATCAGGTCTAAAGAGATGTCCAAATGCCCCCGATCGAACGCTGTCCATGGTCCCGGGCTCCAGGTCCACCAGGATCGCCCGGGGTACATACTTGTGAGCTGGAAAAGAGACCACATGTTCCCTCTAAACTGGCAGGCTCCATGGGACCAGCTTCCCCTGCTTAGCCTTAGAGTCCAGAAGAGCCAGCTCATCTGCTGAGACACCAGCCTCTGCCCCAGGCATTGGCAGCACCTCGGCTCCAGTCCCTATTAGAATGGGGCCCAGCTCGTTCTGTTCTGCGGGCTGGAGCACCGGCACAGGGCCGTTTGGGTTTGGGGACAAGCTCAGAACTCCGTGCACTGGGGCAGGGCTGGGAACTTCCCCATTCCTGCACCCCGAAGGCATCTCCTCCCTTCCAACGAGCGGCCACAAAGGGAGGCAGGAGCCCAGGCAGTCGTCATATCCCCTCTGGGCGGATGGGGCGTTTCCAGCAACAAGCCAACCACCAACTGAGTCCACTCAGCCCCATGCCAGTGTCCATTCCAGACAGAGTCGGGGGCCTGCTTTGCCCTCCCGTTAACCCCAGCCGCCGGCCCTGCACCACAGTAACCAGCTGGCATCGCCTTAACCGCCTCTGGCTGGGATGAGGAGAGGGAACTATTCCCAAAACAATCTTGCAAGCCAGGACTGGCCAGAAGAGGGCATGCCAGGAGAGGGGCAAGACTCCCACTGCTCCCCAGGTGCTGGACACGCCACCTGCCCAGCGTTCCCACACCATGACACCTTGGGGAGCAGGCAGCCATGGAAGGGACCAGCCAGACATCCCAGAACAGCTCCATTTCACAGTCAAACCTCCCTGCTGGCCTGCAGGGAGACAGTGGGGGCTTTTCTGGGAGACGCTGGGAAGTTACAACAGCTCCCCCTGGGCTGAGGGGTCAGGGCTTCCCTTTACTGTGGTGGAGGATCAGCCAGAGCACACGGGAGAGGAGCCTCAGGGTAAGTACATGTATCCCTGCGCAGCACTGCTAAGGGCCAGAGGGGAAACCCCGTGACCTCACATACTGCTCCAGTCAGCCCATTCCGGGACGATTGCAGCAGCCAGCTCAGGACTTACAGGAAGCTTCATTGTAGTAGACACTGATCCGCTCCAGCTGTAGGTCGGAGTCTCCCACATAGTTACCGCTGGGGTCTATCCCGTGCTCATCACTGATCACCTCCCAGAACTGCGGAAAGAGCAGGGGACATTCAGGAGGCAGTTAGCTGTGGGCACCCAGGCAGTGACAGGCCCTGCACTGGGCTAGGAGAGGCACCAGCCTGTTTCCTTTGTTCTCCACAGAACACAAAGCCAAACTGCTCCACTCCAAATGCCAAGCAACGATTTCAGCTTGACCTGTGTGGAGTGAATCCTGGCACCCAAGAGCAGGACTTGAATCAGATTCTGAAGTGACCTCTGCCCCCCTACACCGCAGTGCAGGGCTGGTCCCTACAATAGCATGCTCTGGTTACAATAGCATGGTTCCTAGCATGCTGTCTAGCCTTAAACACTCCACACCACGCTCCCCTGGGGAGTGACACCTTGCTGCCAGGAAACCTCTCTGGCAATTTAGATAGAAGGGGTCTCTGGCAATTGATTCCCCTGACCCCTACCTGGAGGCAGAGAGGCAAGTCTGGCTAAGTACTAGCCTGAGGAAGGGCTAAGGAGTCAAGGGGCTTTGCAAGGCAGAGGCAGGGCACTGGATTTGGGAAGGGGACAATTGCTCTGCAGTCACAACCTAGCCAAGCTTCCTCTGACACATGGAGAGTCAGAGCTGCCTGTGGTACTAGAGGACTGACCCAGAGACATTGATTAGGTGCCACCTGTGAGCTCCACAGTGAGCCAGCAAATGGGACCAACCGTGCCCAGAAGCAAGTCACAGCTCAGGGGCAAGGGTAGCTTTGGAGACCAAGGCCTGAATTCTCAGTTATCCACAGACCCACTGTGCTCATCCAGTCTGACTTCCTGCACAGCACAGGCCAGAGACCTGCCCCCAAGTAATCCCTAGAGCAGAGCTTAGGAAAACATCCCACCCTGATGTACAAGTGGTCAGCGATGGAGAATCCAACATGGCCCTTGCTAAGTTGTGCCAATGGTTAGATATGCTCAGTTAAAAATGTACACCTTCTTTCCAGGCTGAATTTGTGAAGCTTCCCCTTCCAGCCATGGAATGGCATTAGACCTCTCGGTTGGCTGAAGAGCCCACTGTGAAATGTTTGTTCCCTGTGTTGAGGCTCCACACGCCAAGTGGGGTAAGAACCTGCCAGGATCCAACAAGAAGGTCTGTGCTGTGGGCTCTCCTTTGTCATTGGGAGACACAGCGCTTTGCATCAGTAGATTTCAAAGCTTTACATCCAGAGTCCCATTCACAGGTGGGGAAACTGACTTGCCCAAGGCCACTCAGCAGGCCAGTGAGAGCTGGGAATAGAACCCAGGTCTCCTGAACAGTCCAGTGCTCTATCCACCAGGTGACACTGCCCTTATGTTGTGGTGGGGTAAAGGGGCCCTGGTGTAAGTGAGAATCAGTCTCAACTCTTCACTCGAATAGCTCAGAGCTCCTCAGGCCGAGATACCAGGGGACTCCCTGCCGGGGCTAGAGTTGGCTGCTAAGATGCTGGTATTCAAACCCCCAGCAAGCCAGGGAGCCCTTCATGGAACGGCAACACAGTATAACTGCCCAGTGACCAGCATGTAAGGGAAGCCCAAGTTCAAGTGAGCCCTGGGGCAGGAGCTAAGATCCTGCACAAAGGCTGCATCAGTCTGACAGCAGCTGGAGTGCTCCCGTGGGCGAGATGTTCCTGGAGGTTCAATGGTTAAGCAACATGCCTTACAAATGGCTCAGACTGCAGAATTGGGAGCCCGGGTCCTTTTAGCAGCGCAGGGAACTCCCCACGCCTGCTGTGTGCATCTCAGCCGGGCTCCCGTCGGCCTATGGGGGCCGAGGTCTGCCAGCAGCCAGTCATGTCTACACTGCGGCATTGCCTTGCAGTGCAGCAACAGGCAGCTCTACACCAGACGGGAGCTAGCCATGGTGCTGCAACACGCTGACCTCTAGTTACCTCCAGAATAGCTGAGCCACTCGTCTTCGTTCTCCAGGATTTCATAACAGGCAGCAGTGACAGCCAAGGAGGATGGACAGGAGGGAGAGTGGTGCCCTGGGAAGGAAGCTTTGGCTTCATGTTCAAAAGATGCCTGAAGCCAGAACGCATTTGAATCTGCTGCTCTCAACTCCCTGGGCTTTGGCCAGGTCTTAGCAAGGGCCCAGCATTGCAGGGAGCAACGTGCTGCAGGAGGGGCGGACAGGCTGCTTGCTGCCACTGTGCCTTCACAGGGGGCAAACTAGTCAAATACAAAAGCCGCCATCTGTGCAGAGTCCCCTACCTGGAGAAACCCTGGCCAAGACAAGCCTATAGACTGCACCGCACCCCCCGTGCACAGCACAGAGGCCTTGCATTGATTTCATTTCAGACAGGTCATTCCTCTCCCAGTGCCCTACCTCAGCGGGCTGGGGGCTGCTCCCTCTGGCATGCCTGGGGGGGGGGGCGCGTTATCCTTGGAAGAGACCCTTCCTTCTCTCAGGGGTGTGCTGTTTGTGTGGAGCTTCACGGGGGGGAGGGGGACGGGGGGACACACTCATTGCCAAATGCCTGAGTTAGAACTAAAGCTCACTCAACTGAGTATTGGGGAACATGCATTAGACAGGAAGCTGTGTTTGGGGGAGCATCGGGGATGCGTCCTGCATCTGACAGTGCTGCCTGTTGTGTGCCAGCATTACAGAACTGAGCTAATTTACAGCAGCAGCCTTGGCTGTAAGAGGACAAATTGGAACGGATTGCAAGGTCAGGGCGATCTTAAAATACACAGCCGTGTCTACCTGCTGTGGGGCTCTGTTCAGCTGCTCACTCTGTGCAGAGCTGACCTCGTCTCCCCAGTGACCCTTTGTGAAAGGGACCACACGGAGCTCAGAGCCCACCTCACCTCCAGGGAGCGGAGAGTGCTCGGATCTCCCACCAAGGACCCAAACATGGCTCCAGCTCACCTCTGAGCTGCCACTCAAAGCAGCTTGCATCCTGCATTGAGCAGACATGTCAGTTACAGGGCTTATGAATTCCCCAGGAATTCATCATGCTGATTAACATATAAATGAGTCTCCTCAGGTCGCAAATACAGAGGTTCCCCAAACAATGAGCGCTCAGGGAATGACATCTGAAGTGCCGAGTGTGAGACATGCTCTGGAGCAGCAAGGTAAGGATTGCTTAAGCAAGGGTTCTTGCTGCCCCAGCCAGACACAGGTCAGCTGGAGACTGGGACTGGACCCAGGCTCAGTCCCTCTTGCCCTCCTGCACTACCAATCCTGCCCCCTCCTCTCATCCCCTCTGGGGGAATCTAGGGCACTGTCACGCTGCTGTGTCCCAGCCAGGGGAGACAAGTCATGGGGATGAGCCCCCAGCTCAGCAGCCCTGGAGCCTTTTCATTTCCAGCGCGGCGGGGGGGGGGGGGGGCTGATCCCCAACACACATGGGGAAATGGGCTGCAAAGATTTCTGCCACAAGCCCTCCTGGAAATGGGCATTGGCAACCTTCCAGGGCTGATTATTCCACTTAGTAGCTGGCCTCCCCTCCTCCAGCCACTTGGCCTATTAGTGGCAGGTGTTCTCCGGGCAACCAAGATAATGACAAGGCTTTCCCCCTTCATCCCTACTGGGCGCACTCAGCCACAGCTGCACAAGGACTCCCGAGCACTGATTTGATTTCAGTCCCCTCTCCCCAGCTCTCCTGGGAGACGCCAGGAAGCAGCCGAGTCTCCTGGCAGACTTGCCTTGTTCTATATTCAGAGCAGGCACAGATGTCCCCCGGAGGCCTGATTGATGATTAGCTGTCTCACACTAAGTCACCGCAGCAGGTGTCTCAAGAAGCGGACAACAAGATCTTTTACACATGCAATTGACATGGAATTGCCAAGCTGGGTTAGTGAGCCTCCCTCCTCCCCCCTCCCCCCATGTCTTTCAGTGTCGCCTGTAACAAAGACACCTTCCCATGTACCATAAGCCCCAGCTGTAGCCTGGTTTGCCTACTAGCCATTCGCCCCTTGGCCACAGGAAGAGGGCTGACAAATGCCCCCCTCTTATTGCTGCATTTCACACCCAGGATGGTGCTAATCTAAGAGGAGAAATCAGTTCCAGATCCCACAAGACACCCCTGACAAAGAGGGGCCGAACCTCGCTGAGTAGGGAGGAGGCTTCTGGTTACATTTGATGTGTCGGGGGGGGGGGGGGGGCTGAGCACGACTGCTCAATGCTATTGTCCTGCCCCAGAACCGAGGTTGTTTTGTCACCATTTCTCCAGAGCGCGAGAAAGCCCAGGCTGCAGCATCTCCCTCAGACTCCTCTACAAAGCGAGCTGCTATCCAGAGAGGACCCAGTCCAGGGCTCTGGGGTTCTAAAGAGATCACCAGGGCTCCAACCAAGGAGGAGAGTCAGGACAAAGGGGTCTGGTAGCACCGGGCTCCTGACTTCCCTAGAGCAGCTGCCTTTCAGCCCAGCCCTGCTTTCTGCTGCAGAGGTCAAAGAGTATGCCTGGGCCCACGGCAGGGTTCGGCTCCCAGACCTTGGTTCTAGCCTCCAGCTCACATAGCCTGCAATTACGGAGGGCATCTGGCCAGTGAAACCAGAACAAAGCCAGTCACACAAGCATCCCTGATGGTGGCTGGGCAGGTTAAACCGCTGCTGGAGACATTCGGGCTTGGCAGCATCCTTATGCAGGGCACACAGGGCAGCTCCTGCCCCTCACCATCTCAGGGAGCTTTGGGGCTTCCTTCTTTTCCAGTTTTTCCTCCTAAGAGGCGTCAGACTACGGATGCTCAACAAAAGGCCCCACCTCCTTTGCCTTTTTTGATGCTCCTGGCAGGAGCTGCCATGCCTATGCCAGTCACCCCACGGGCAGGCCAGACAGAGCTCAGCTCCTAGCCCCTCAGTTAGCAGGGCTGCGAGGCCTGCTCTGCCCGTCAGAGCCCTGGCACTCGGGCTGGGGAACCGGGCTCAGCCCCTCACACAGATGGGGGCAGGGCAGGAGGAAGGGCTGGCAGGGGTTTGTGCAGGGAGCAGTGTCACGTGTCTGTGCCACCCACCCAGTGCCATCTGCAGCGGGCATCCCGCCCCCCAGAACATCTGGGCCAGCTCCCCCCAGGCAGTGCGCTGCCCTGCCACGATGGGGGCTGAGCAGACACCCAGCCCTGCGGTGGGAGAAGCCCCTGGGAGGGGCTGGGGGAAGCGCGCAGAGAAGCGATCCTGGAGCACCACCCCGTGTCAGCCAGTCTCCCTGCGCCACAGCATCCCCCAGACCCGGGGCTGCGCCCAGCTAGCCCCCGAGGAGCCCCCGGCCAGGCCCGGGCGGGGGTCCCAGCGAAAGCAGCCGGCCCCGAGCGCCCGGCCGCGGTGGCGCAGCGCTGAGCTCATCCCTTTGTTCCCAGCTCCGCAGTGCCGGGGCGTGGCTCGTTCGCTCCCAGCCGCCGCGCCGAGCGCCCGGAGCCGCCCGCCCCTCTCCCCCACTGGCCCCTGCCCCGGGGCGGGGCGGGGCAGGCACCGCCCACCCCTCCAGGCCGGCCGCGGCTCGGCCCCCGCCCCCGCCGCGCCGGGCTGGGCTGAGGCTGGCGATGCGCGGCCCGTCCCGGCCCAGTGGCCGGCCCGGGTGCCCCCGGCAGAAGGCGGAGCCGCAGCCCGGGAAGGGGGCGCCCCCCAGCCCCGCCAGGCGCCCCCCCGGGCGGTACCTTGGCTCCGATCTGGTTGCCGCACTGGCCCGCCTGGATGTGCACGATCTCCCTCATGCTGGCCCGGGGCGGCGGCTGTGGCTGGTGCAGGCGGCTCGGGGGCGCAGGAGCAGAGCGGGCTGGGGGCTGCGGAAAGCGGCCGGGCGCCGGCCGGAGCCTTTTATAGGCGCCTCCCGCTGCACCGGGCCGGCCGCTGACGTCACCCCGGCCCGGCCCACCAATCAGCAGGCGCCGCCGCAAATGCTGCAACATCCCTGCAGCATCAGCACCAGCGCATCCCTCGCCCGGCGCCGCCTCTCCCCGCCACAATGCAACAGCTGCCGCGCCCCGGAGAGCAGCCGGGGAGCCCCAGATACAGTTAGGGGGAGGGGGCAGAGCCCCTTGGCCTGAGTCCCCCGCTGGGGGGGGGGAATGAGGGGGGCAGGCCCTGGGCAGTGCTGATGTGGTTCCGGCACTGGGCTAGGACCCACCCAGTCTCCCTGGGTGACCTGCCCAAGTCACCGAAGGGGCCCCTGGGAGGGGCTCAGCGCTGGGTTCATGTGGGGTGCTGGCCAGTCTGGATCGTGGCCCCCAGTGTCTCCACACGTGTCTCCATCCTTCCTCCCCAGCCCGCCTGGGCCCTTGCCGTTCTGAGCGCTTTGAAGCAAGGCCTGTCTGTGCAGGGCCTGGCACGGGGCGCCCTGATCTCAGCTGCTGCTCTTATACAACCAATGAAAACAGGAGCAGCCTCAGCCCGAGCAGAAGGTGGGACCTGCCAGCACAGATCAGCCCAAGCGTGCATTGTTAGGGTTAATCAGGGTTATTGTGGAGTTGCCCAAGGACTCTCTGAGATGGGGACCCTGTTGTGCCAGGTGCTGGCCTGGGGTGGTGGCTGTGGCTGGTGGAGGTGGCTCCAGGAGCAGCCAGTCCCTATCCAGAAGAGTTCACAGCCTAGACAGACAGACACCAGGGACGCACAGCCTGCAGGCAGAGTGAGCCGTGTATGGGGTGGCAAATGGCCTGTCAGTACCAGTCCCTGTGACCAGCACCCCATGCTTCAGAAGGCGGCATGTGGATCCTTGCTGCTCCCTGTCCAGCCCGTCCTGCACCGAACCAGGAGAGGGCGGCTCCTTCCAGAGCTCTAGGTATGTTCTGCTGGGTTTCTAGCCTCACTCTGATGGCTGGAGCTTCTCACTAGCTGGTTCTGTTCTGAAAGCTTAATAAGCCCTTGGCCTCCAGGAGCCCGTGTGGCCAGGAGTTCCACAGGCTAGTTGTCCATTGTGTGAATGAGGATTTCCTGCCATCCTGATTTGCAGCTGGCTCCTTTCCCATTCCTTGCATGGCCCCTGTTCCTGTCCAGCCACTGTCTGTATCCCAGCCATTATTCCATGTCACTGAGTCATGGCCCCCCTTATTCATCTCCCCCTGGGAGTCCGCCAGCAGCACCCACTACGCAGGAGGGGCACTGCTCTCCAGCCTCAGAGGCACCCACTATGGGGCAGGTGGGGAGCACAGACTCTGGGACTCAGATCCACCCACTTTAGGGTGCACAGATCCTTTGGGTCACATCCCTCTGGCAGGGACAGAGGTGATGTCCGTGCCTCCTGGTGATTCAACCCTCATTGTTGGTGAGTGGAGCCCTGAGGGCTGCCCTCTCTTCTTCTCAGGCTGCCGTGGCCCCAGGACACAGGCTGACCTTGCCCACCTCCCTCCTGCCCCACCCCAGTCCTGCTCCCTTGTCTCCGGGCTCCGATGGGGGAAGCCCAGAGCTGCTATAACTGGCTCTGTACCTGCCTCAGAGGCCCCTGTGCTGGGGGTATTTTGGGGAGGGGGATTTATGGCCCCTTTTGCAGCCACTTGACACTGGTGGGTGCAGGGCCAAAGTGAATTCCACTCTCCCCTGGCCTCGCTGGCTCCTGTCTTGCCCCTTACATAGTCCCTTACCCCTCTGCTGCAGCTAACCAGGCCTCACCATGTCTCTTTGGCCTTGCTTGGCCCTGCACCGGGTGATCCTGTGTTGGGGGGTTGGGGGGTGGCTCTGTCACTGTACCTGCTGGCAAGGACCCCTCCGTGGGGATATTCCCTGGGCAGGGGGGCCGGACAGGTGCTTTATAGCCCTTTTGTATGGTCCATAAAGCACTGATGAGCCCCAGCCCAGGTTAACATACTGAGAGATTGGGACAGCAGCTTTACTGGCTCCACTGGCCACAGGGTGCAGGGTGGGGGGAGATCTGAGCAGGATATTTGCACAGCGTAAAACTAGCCCTTGCTGGGGCCACTGGAGGGAGGGGAATTGCCAGCTCCTGCTCGAGGAGGACATGTGGGAGGACCTGCTGCAGCTAGAGTGAAAGAACAAAAACCCCATCAGAGCTGCGGTGTGAGGGGAGAGGCGCTGCAGGCCAGGCCTGCTAGTCACCTCCCTTTGTTCCAGCCACAGACCTCCAGCTGGAGCAGCCAGGCTGGGCACAGCCTTCAGGGAGAGATGCTTTTCTGAGCCTGCCCCACAACTGGCCCTGCAAACCCTGGGGGTGCTATTGTACTCGGGTGGTTCCCCCTGGGCAGCCAGGGCTTGGGAGAGAAACTGCTGTGGCCCATCCCCACCCTGCTGGCTCAATGATTCTGGTTGCCCTAGGTATTGCCTGCCTCATTGTGTCTGTACAGACTCAACCCAGCTGCCTCTGGGCAGCAGCTGCCCCTGCAGCATCAGGCTGGGCCCCGTCCAACCTTCCCTTAGGCACCACATAGCAATTCAGGCCCTGGGTCTGATTCTCCCTGGACTGGCAGCTGCATTGCTCCTGGGTGGTGCCAGTGACCCAGCGAGTCCCATTCACACCAGGGAAGCAGAGCAGAATCAGGCCGGCTGAGCCTACATCCCTGTGACACAGCTTGGGGCCTGGAGCCACTGGAAAGGGGTAATTGGGACTTGCCTGTCCCAGGCTGGCATGTGGGGGTGGGGGTGCAGCTGGGAGCATGGGGAGGGGGTTCAGAGATGCAGCAAGTACAATGCTAAGAACTGTAATTCCATTAACAAACCACTGGCAAAGGGAAAATGCCAACTCACTAGCAAGGAGAGTTCCCTCGCACTGCACTGTGGGGTACTGCCCAGCCACCCCGGGGAGTGATGCCCATGCCATGGGGCAAGGCATTAATGGGTACTGGTGGTGCCACCAGAGGTGGGAGCTGCTGGAGAGATGCTCTGAAGCTGGCAGGGGCAGTGGGGTGGGGGCCCTTCCCCACCCTCACCCCTGGGTTCTGGATTCCCCAGTCCTTCCCCAGGGTTAGGTACTTGCCTTTTGGGGCAGGCTTGCCAGCCCTGGTGGGTCCCCCCTGTGGGACACTGGCAGGAGATGGCAGGAAGGGAGATGAGCTGGAGGGCAGTTCATTGCTGGGATGCTGCAAGAAACCCTCACACCAAACTGCTCCACTGCAACCGCCCCCCTCCGAAGAGCCCCTAGGCCTGGGAACGCTGACCTCCAAGCCCTGCACGGCATGAGGCACCTGGGCCCAGCCTCACCCCTTGCCAGGTGCAGACAGCACAGGGCTCTTGCTCAGTGAACACACCTTGACCCTCCTACCTGGCAGCCAGGGCCAGCACATGTGCCCAGGGACTGCACCTTGAGCTCATCCCGAAGAGCAGCCGAGCTGCCAGCATGCTGAGGGGAACCGCTCCCCCAGCATGTCCAACCTGGCTGGCTGGGGCAGGAAGCCCCTTGGCTGGAGCTCTGGGCTTGGAGATAGAGGCCTGGTATCACCAGCTAGCAAACAGAGCAAGCAGCAAGCTGGGAAGGGACTTGGAGCCACAACAAAACCGGCTAAGAATCCCCTGAGCTGGGTGGAATGGGGGGTCACAGCATCCCCCACCCAGGGGATGGGGGGCTCACAGCATCCCCCACCCGGGGGGGTCACCACGATTGTCCCTCCATGGGACCTGTGTTGGTGGCACAGACAAAGGGCACAGGGTCTGGAGGGCGCAGGGCATGGTCCTGCGGGTTCTGGGACTGGCAGTGAGCAGGCCCCGCAGCAGTGCCAGAGTCATAGCAGGGCGGTGAATAGGGAACCCACAGACCCCTCTTTGCACCAGGTCTCCCCACGGCTGTTACTGTGGTACAGGCAGCCTGGCCATGGGCCAGGGGGTGAAGTGGGTGCTGGGGGACCCTCTGCCCATTTCCACTGAATGCCCAGGGTCCTCACAACCCTGTGACCTTTTCTCTAGGGCTCTCCAGTGCAGGTTTCCACAGCAGCTTCCCACGCCCTGTGACTGAGCAGGAACACAAGGGGCCTGGTGCACCCATCCCAGAGGCAGCCCTGGGTCCTGGCTCCCGTACTAGCTTCTCCCCGGGCAGGAGGTGCCTTTGCCTGACATGCCCCATCTGCAGAACGATGCACTGGCTGAGCAGGGAGCTGACGTAACTGGGGAGGGAGTTGGCCCCTGGAAAGATGCTACTTCTAATTCTACCAGCAAATCCCAGAGCCTTGACCCGCTGGCTCCCTGGGTGACCAGTGCGGGCATCCGAGCACAGCTGCACCTTTGTGTCTGTGTTGGTAGCTGGGTGTAGGCCCTGGCCAGGGGCGCTGTGTCCTGTCCCCCTGCCTCCCCGCCCACCCGCAATAAGCAGCCTTCCTGGAGCCGGCGCTCTGCACACACTGAGCTCCACGGATGCTGGTGGGAGCAGAGAGGGGCAGCGACTCATTTCTGCTCAGGCTGGTTCCAGCTCCTTGCTTTGGCTAACACCCATTGAACCGCAGCACCCACTGGACTTGGCTACCCGCCGAACCCGCCACCTCTCGGACCGGCGTTTGCTTTCGGTGTAGGCCTGGGGCTCTCGGGGCCCCACAGGCCTGACTCCAAAGGCTGCAGAGAGCCACCTGGTGGATGGTGCTTTAGTAAATTCCTCATTAAATTCCTCACAGTCCCGCCCTGCTGCTTCCAGTGCCCAACCACATCTGGAGACCTGCCACAAGGCAGATGGGGCCTGCAACCCTGGGCCCCCAAGCAGCAAACAGCGCCCCCTTCCAGGGAGCCCTTCAGGCTTTCTTCAGCCCCTGGCAAAGCCAAGAAGACAGAAGGCCAAGCTCCAGCTGGCCAGGTCCTGTGCAGGTCACATTTAACACCTCTGCTGGGAACATGGGCCAGCGGCCAGAGCCCAGCCCAAGTGGTGGGGAGGCGGCTCCCAGCAGGTG